AGAAAGTAGAGGGTTGGTTGCACTCAATTTAACTAGACTACTCGTGTGTGTGTGTGTGCGCGCGCGTGTGTGTGTGTGTGTGTGTGTGTGTGTGTGTGTTAAGTTCTCTTGAGCTAATAAGTTTAAGTTTGGGGTGACATCCAGGTTTTTTCTTGTCTTTTCTCATGCCCTTTTCTGCCTATCTCCCTTCTTTCTCATCTTCCTTATTCTGCTCTTCTTTCAAAGAAGTTAATGAGGAGGTAAACTCCAGTTAATTGAATTCTAAGTAGTTGAAATGTTTCCACCCTTGGGGCATCTGTAAGCTTAAGAAATAGCTGCCATAAGTTATGCTTCATCTGACTTTGGACTGTGAAGCCCAAGGTCCTGAAGTTCTGGCTCATCCTCTGTTAAACTAAGCAGGTGACAGGAATTATAACAGATGAAACTGTGTCATAACTTTGGTTGTTTTTAAAATTGGGTTTCCTTAATTTGAACAATATCAATTCTGCTTCCTCAGGACAGATGTCTTAAATGTTTTAATTTTTGAAGGTTTGTGCCTACTCATTGTCTTTAGACATTCTCCAGTCCTTAGCAGTTGGTATTTGGAGAGCTGAGACATGAAGGGAAACCCAGAGAATCATCTGCTTATTCTATATTAGACAGTTCCCCTCCCTCCAGTGGCTCAGGGAAGTTTCGTGTGACTGTGGACCTGGAGAACAAGTTTGAAATGGGTCTCCCCAAGCTGAATTTATTTTTATCATTCTTTCCCCTTCTTTCTTCTCTCTCCTCCCCTCCCAATTTCTTTTTCTCCTTGGTAGTACTGGGGCTTGAACTCAGGGCCTCAAGCTCACTTAGTTTGCCTGCTAGGCTAGTGTTCTATTTCAGCCACACCTCCAGCCCTGCTTTTTGCTGGTTAATTGAAGATAGTTACAGACTTTTTTGCCTGGGCTGGCTTCAAACTGGAATCAACTAAATCACAGCCTCCTGATAGGCTTACATGAGCCACTAGACTCATAAAAAAGCTGCTTGGTTATGCTTGGGACTACAGTTCAGTGATGCTTAACTCTGTCTTCAATCCCTCTCCACTACTGTAAAGATCCAAAACAAAAACCTAGCTTGATTTCTTTAAAAAATTAAATCAAAAGCCACGTTTTTCTTTTTTTTTTCCTCCCATGTCCTTAAAATCCTACTCAGAAAGGTTTTTTTGTTGTTATTTATTTGTTTGAGCAAACATTCCATACAAAATAATACACTTTAAGCTTTCATCCACAGCTCTTTTCTCAGTACTTGATCTGTAAGTAATTCCATCCAGCTTGAGCTGCTTGGCCTTCTGGAGAGTGGCTGTTATTTGGAACAATCTAAGTGTATCATCTCAATAATGAAAATGTGTCCAAATATCTAGACAGCAGGAGATCTGAGATCACCACTGAAATTGTATATTTTAAAAATCTACGTTAGCTTTTTTGCCTTTTACCAAATTAGAAGCATGTGGAAATGTTTCTGGACATCTCTCTCCTTGCCAGGTGTAATGTCTCAGGCATGTGAAGTGTAGGCTGTATACAAACACTCAGTGGTCTCTTCATGGTCTTCTTTAGCAGTGGGATTATCCACCAAGTCAGTCTCATTAACTCTTAGCTTGCCATTTCCATTTATCAAAAGTCAGTGACCACATAAATCCTGTTAGCCGAGAGTCAAATGTTCTGTTTTCTAGCTTCAGAGAATTAAATCTTAAAGTTCTTAGAAAAATATTAGCTGAAATTCTACAACTTGAGCCATGCCTCCAGCCCTGCTTTTTGTGAGTTATTTTGGGGAATCTCACAGACTTTTCTGCCCAAGCTGCTATCCTCCAGATCTCAAGCTCCTAAGTAAATAGGATTACAAATGATGTCCACCAAAATTTTTCAACTTAAACATTGACATTAGTTTTTTGTTTTCCAGAAAAATAATGGTTTTGCTTAGTGTTTCTGAAAATCTTTTTGATTATTTTATTAAGAGCTTAAAACTCTTACCAGATTTGATGCATATTACTCAACTTAATGAATCTTTTAGGTTTTAACAAAAGTACTAAAACAAATCTTAAAGAATATTTGAGATACTATAATTTATTTTATTTTTATTTATTTATTTTTTGGTCCAGTCATGGGCTTGAACTCTGGGCCTGGGTGCTGTCCCTCAGCTCTTCAGCTCAAGGCTAGCGCTCTACCACTTGAGCCACAGTGCCACTTCTGGCTTTTTTCTTTTTGCTTATGTGGTGCTGAGGAATCGAACCTAGGGCCTAATGCGTGCAAGGCAAGCGCTCTACCACTGAGCCACCTTCCCAGCCCTGTAATTTATCTTAGATACATCCCTTACATGATTTTTTTTTCTAATTTAAGAGACTTTGTTGTGATTCTTTCAGTGTGGATCAGCCAAAAAATATTTAATAAGTTGCAAATACCCATAAATTCTTAAATTTAAATTAAGATGAATTGATCATCAAGGACAGTTAGCTCACAGTCATCTTTTTTCCTCTGATACTGAAGTAACAGTATTAGGATTAGAAGAGGTGTCTTTAGTCCCTTATTAGCTTTAATATTTTGAACTTGGCCTCTGTACTTTGGGCACCTGTGGGAAAATGAATTTTATGCTTAGAATTATATTATCTGGGGCTGGGAATGTGGCTCAGTGGTAGAGTGCTTTGCCTAGCATGCATGAAACTCTGGGCTCGATTCCCCAGTACCACATAGACAGAAAAAGCCAGAAGTGGTGTTGTGGCTCAAGTGGTAGAGTGCTAGCTAGCCTTCAGCTGAAGAGCTGAGGGACAGTGCCCAGGCCCAGAGTTCAAACCTCACACCTGACAAAAAAAGAAAGAAAGCTTAGATGCCTTGCATGGTGGCTCATACCTATAATCCCAACATTTATAAAACCGTAGCTGAACCAGTAGCTGGACAATGGTGGTAACAAAACTTGATCCTAGTTGTACAGAAATAAAGCATAAAGGGCTAGTTTTGTGCTTCCAGTGGTAAAGCTCCCACCTAGCAAGTGCAAGGCACTGAGCTCAACCCCTAGTGCCACCAGGAAAACAAACAAAAACTTAGATTTACCTTACCACCACCCCCCTTTGAAAATGAGTATGTAAAAATTCCAGTTCTTTCAAAGTGACTATGTGTGTGTACATGCGTGTGCAAGCCTGTGTGCGTATACTGGGGCTTGAATTCAGGGCCTGGGGCACTATCCCTCAGATTTTCACTTAAGGCTGGTGCTCTGCCACTTCAGACACATCTCTAGTTCTGGCTTTTTTAAATAGGAGATAAGAGTCTTGATATTCATCAACCCAGGTTTGCTTTGAGCCACAATCTGGAACTCAGTCTCCTGAGTAGCTAGAATTACAGGCCTGAGCCAGCCACCCAGCTGGAAAATAACTTTGATAGTGTAGTATCAAATCAGCCTGAAAGAAAAGTCCATGTATCAAATCAGTGTAAAAGAAACACCAACAATCTGAAATGAAATTTGGAAAGGAGACCCTGTCTTTAATCTAGAAAGGAAAAATATCACCAGTTCCTTCGATCTGTCTTCGATAAGAGATCTACAGTATGTACTTATAATCTTGTAGCTGGGTGGCTGATGAAGGAAGATCACAATCTCAAGACCAGCCTGGGCTATGCATAGCAAGACTGTCTCAGGAAGAAAAAAAGTCTAGTGATAACTTTCATGGAGACATCATGAAGATTGTATATTAGAGAATGACTCCTTTTTGTGGCTACCATGTTGTTAAGTTGTCCTGCCTTCATATTGTAGCTTGATTGGAGTGAGAAGCTAAGGCAAAAGTTTTAAGTTGTATCAGTATCAGGTGAAGCTTTGAATGAATTTACACAAACAGTTATTCTAAACTGCTCTGTTATTACACTAGTTTTCATTTGAGCATATTTTTCTTTCTTTACTGAAGGACTGTGTTCTTCAGTAGATTAGCAGACATCTAATCTAGTGCCTGTCAACAAGCTGAGTACCTTTTTAGTGTTCTGTGCTATTCTTGGGGCTTGAACTCAGGGCCTGAGTACTGGTCCTTGAGATTTTTTTGCTCAAGGCTAGTGCTTTACCACTTGAGATACAGTTCCACTTTTTGGTGGTTAATTAGAGATAAGACTTTCACATTTTCCTGCCCTAGCTGGCTTTGAACTGTGATATCAGATATCTCAGCTTCCTGGGCACTAGGATTACAGGCAAGAGCCACTGGTGCACAGCTATGGCACTACTTTATCTCATTTGGATTACTGCAGTGATGTCCTAATTAAACAGTCAGCTTTTCCTCTTCTTTCCAAAATATTGCCTACAGGCCCTCAAAATCTAACCTGCCTCTTTATTCTTGTAATCCTCTCTCTTAAGAAATTCTGTCAGTGACTGTGATCTTCTTTTTTTTTTTTTTTTGGTTGGTCACGGGCCTAGTGCTCAAGGCTAGTACTCTACCACTTTAAGTCACAGTCCTATTTATGGTTAATTCTAGAGAAGAGTCTCACAGTTCCCTGCCCGGGCTGGCTTTGAACTGCAATCCTCGGATCTCAGTTTCCTGAGTCACCAGTGCCCACCTAGAAGTGAAGTTTTTTAAAAAATATTAATAAGTAACAAGATGAAACAGCGAACTAGAAAACGAGCATTAAGGGTTGGGAAGGTGGCTCAGTGGTAGAGTGCTTGCCTTGCATGCATGAGGCCCTGGGTTCTATTCCTCAGCACCACATAAGCAAAAAGAAAAAAGCTGGAAGTGGCTCTGTGGCTCAAGTGGTAGAATGCTAGCCTTGAGCTGAAGAGCTGAGGGATGGCACCCAGGCCCAGAGTTCAGGCCCCACGACTGGACCCAAAAAAAAAAGAAAGAAAATGAGCATTAATATATAACATCCAGTACTGAATGGTTGTTATCTTAGTCTTTATATTATTTAGCAGTAAATGTCCCATATTTTCTTTGCTACTTAAGTTTCTTTGACTCTTCTGTATTACTGTTCTATGGTTTATTGCCACTCTATTCTCTTCATCTATACCTTTTTACCTAGAGACCAAATGAGAGGCTGGACCCAACACCAGAAAAACCAAGAGCAGAGCCTGTAATCAAAGAGACTGCCCCGGTGAGTCCTCATCTAGTATTAATAGATCAGATGTGCTGAAGGAGGTAAACATAAAGCAATTAAATTGTAACATACTGAGGTATTATAGCTCCATACTTCTCTAATTCAGAAATTATACTGAAACAGATCCTGGAGCTGATTTAGGTAGATATTATTTTCCATCTAAAAACTGACCTTTTAAAAACTAAGACCATTTTTAAATTGATCATGTGGCTTCTTAAGATACTTTAGTGATAATTTGTCAAGAAAATCCATCAATTCTGTTTTCAGGTTGGAGGATTAGGCTTATCAACCCCCTTTCTTTCTCCTATGTCATAATTATAAACAGCTATTGGAGAAAAATATAATTAAAGATAAAATTTTAATGTACTTAGGATATAATGCATTGTTTCTTTTTTTTTTTTTTAATGTGGTTTTTCTTCTGAAAGAGTTTTCCTTTTCCTCTAGGTTCAGCCAATACTGTCTTCTGTTTCAACAACAGAAGTGTCCACTGGTATTAAGTTCCAGGTTGGTGATCTGGTTTGGTCCAAGGTGGGAACCTATCCTTGGTGGCCTTGTATGGTTTCAAGTGATCCCCAGCTTGAGGTTCATACCAAAATTAACACAAGAGGTAAGAAAAGGCATAAATAAATAACAAGTAAAAAGTTTAATGTTTCTTGTATATATAGGAATACATACATAATACATGATTTTAGACAAATGTGTGGATCTCTGAGTTTTTAATAACTAGTAAAATAATTATGGTCATCTTAATTGGCAGAGAACCTCTATACCTCAGGCTGGCCTAAAACTCATGATCCTCCTGCTTCTGCTTCCTGAGTGTTAGAATCACAGGTACACACAACATGCCTATCTTCTTTGAACTTCTTTTTCCATCTTTGATTGAAAAGATGGCACACAGACACACATATACACACATATACATACACACACATATGTGTGTTACCAGACAACTACTTTTCATCCTATTAAATTTTGCAGGATACTTTTTCTCTCTTCTCTTTCTTTTTTTGTTTCTTTTTTTTTTTTTTGGTAATAATACTGGGTTTTGAACTTGGGGCTACATGTTTGATAGGCAGGTACAATACTTCTTGAGCCATACCTCCAGCCTTTTGCTTGCTTTCAAATCTGTAAATTTACGAAGACATCCTTACATGTTTGATATGACAGAGTAGTTTAACTTAAATCTATCTGTAGTAACATAAAAATTTTATGCTTGGAATTTAAAAATTAAGAAGAGATATATTTTAACTTTATTCTTTGCCTTTGATGTGGATTTGACTCCTAATATTCTACTGTTTGAAAAGGACTCACTTAGCAATCACAGAAAGTTTAATCTTTGAACCTGTTTCTGGATAAGTCATACGTTGAATTTCCCATTATTTGTGACAATTTCTCATCTATTATTTTTTTCACCTGTGATATTTTGTGTAGTTCTTTGTTCACTATTATAAGCAGAAAAATGTCTACTTATATCTGGAGGGTCATGTGTATGACAGGATCAGCCCTGTCTGTGACACTTTTGCTGTATAGCAAGGAATCACCTTGGGTACAGCAGGAAATGGCTTGAATTTCTCTCCTTTTGTGAATGTTATGCACTGAATAAAGGCCGGGAGAATATAAACATCCATATGGCAGAAGTGAAGAATCAACACTGCTGACTGTCTGCTTTTGCTCAAACTACTGTTTGAGTTTTGTATTATCTATTTTCTTATGTGATATTTACAGCAGCAACACGGTTGAGATGGTAGGATTATGCGTATCCTATATTTCAGAAAAGTAAAGTCTCAAAGAATTGTTCTTCAACAGTACTAGATGTTAGAAAGAAATTAGTTGAACTCTTTCTGTCATAATTCACAGAAGTCAAGCAACAGTCCTGGTTTCTATGTTTGTGTAAGAGTATTGAACCAGTCTGTGGGGCACCTTTCAGCTCTGATAATCTATAGTTCTGTGAAAGGGAAAATATAGGACAGGATACTCTAGAAAGTCCAGATCTTCCTAAAGAAAACAACTCCTGTTCATACATGGACCTCCTGAACTCTCCACAAAATTACCATCATGTGAGTTGTGATTCTTCATTTCTTCTCAGGAAAGCATTCTTTTGGGGTTATATAACAAGTTTTACATTTAATTCCTTTATGAAATCTGCTAATTTCAGCTTTTTTGCATAAAACAAATGAAAGCACAAGTTATGCCTTGTATGTTTTTTTAAAGAAAATATTTAAACTTAGTTTCATTAATTAACCTAATCAAGTCTGATACTCCCTGGACAATATCCTACTTTAATGCCAGAATAGCTGATTGTTTATATTACAATCAGAAATCCAATAATCTAGGTTTAAAAAAAGGTCAAATAATTTTGATAAAAATTTTAGGAGTTGGAAACATTGCACAGTTGGTGCTACCCAATGAGCAAAAACATCAGGTACTGAGGTTGAGTCATGGACTCTGGCCAGTAAGTTTTTTGATGTTGCAATGCACCAGGTGACTCATGCCTTTCATCCTAGCTACTCAGGAGGCTGAGATTTGGAGCATCATAGTTCAAAGCCATATTGGGCAGAAAAATCCAATAGACTCCATCTCCAGTTAACTAGCAAAATGCTGGACCAGAAGCATGGCTCAAATGGTAGAGCACCAGTAATGAGCAAAAAGCCAACCAACACCTTGAGGCCTTGAGTTCAAACCCCAGTACTGGCACACAAAGAGAATTTATCATTTTAAAACTTAATAATCTTATTGTGGTGTAAATTTTGTGGTAGACAGATTGTACTTTTCAAACATGTAGTTCAATGATATTCAGTTCATTCACAGTTTCACTAAACCTCACCACAATCTAATTTTAGAATTTTTGTTTTTTTTGGGTCCGGTCGTGGGGCCTGAACTCTGGGCCTGGGCGCTGTCCCTCAGCTCTTCAGCTCAAAGCTAGCGCTCTACCACTTGAGCCACAGCGCCACTTCTGGCTTTTTTCTTTTTGCTTATGTGGTGCTGAGGAATCGAACCCAGGGCCTTGAGCATGCAAGGCAAGTGCTCTATCACTGAGCCACCTTCCCAGCCCTAGAATATTTTAATCACCCCAAAATAGAAATCCTGCATCTATCAGTCACTTCCCACTCCATATGCCCCACCCCATTTAGCTTAAACTTCCTGTAACTGCTTTCTCTCTCTACATTTACCTGTTCGTTTAACTTCTTTTATGTCTGCTTTTGAGATTTATCCATGTCTTAGCATGTATTGGTACTTGATCCTTTTTAAATTTTTATTTATAGATTTATTTACTTTTTTTTGTAGTACTGGGTTGAACTCAGGGCTTTGAGCTTGCTAAGCAGATGCTATGCCCTGTCCCCAACCCCTTTGGTCCTTTCTTATTATCAAATAATTTCCATTATATGGCTGTTTCTTACAGTCTTAAGTGAATTGATTGACAGCTTTTCTGAAAACCAAAAAAAAAAAAAGGCATTATAGCTATTCTTTTTTCTCTATTGCCTAAATACTTTGTAGAATGGTTTTATACAACAATCATTGGTTTCCATGTTACTAGTCAGTGTTGTTATTAGTCAGATTTAGCATTCATATTTTTCTACACCATTAATAGTAGTTTTTGTAAGAGAATGTTGAAAGGTATTTGGATCATACCTATTTTAAATTGTATTTCACTACCTAGACCTCATTTAAAAAAAAATATTACGTGGCTGGGCACTGGTGGCTCTTGCCTATAATCCTAGCTGCCGAGGAGACTGAGATCTGAGGATCCTGGTTTGAAGCTATCTCAGACAGAAAAGTCTGTGAGACTGTTATCTCCAATTAACCACTCTAAAACTATAGTGGTACTGTGACTCAAGTGGTAAAGTGCTGACCTTGTGCACAAAGAGGCTCAGGGACAGCTCCCAGGCCCTGAGTTTAAGCCCTACAACTGACCCCCCCCCCCAAAAAAAAAAGAAATCATGTTCATTTAGGGAAAAGTAAAATTTCACAAAAATATATATGGTAGAAAGCAAAAGGTTGCTTATAATCTCCTTCAACTATATAAGCAATGTTTAAAATTTGTGGGTAATTTCTATTCTGTATGTATATTATACTTAAAAGATAAGTAAGTAAGGATTTTTGAGAATTTTTTTTTGTTTTGTTTATGGTATTATGCCTCCAACTATTTGGGACAGTGTCTTCCTGTATAGCTTAGTCTGGCATCAACCTTGAGATTCTTCTGCTTTGGCCTCGCCCATGCTAGAATCACAGATGTAATGTGTAATAGCTGGTTTCTTTTCCCCTCCTCCCCCTGTACTGTTGCATTAACTTCTTAATAGACAATTTAATGGAGGAGTTGAAAATACAGAAATACAAACAAAAGTAAGATTGTAGTGTGAGTCTGAGTTTTTGTTTGTCAGTCATGGGCCTGAACTCTGGTCTTGGGCGCTGTCCCTTAGCTCTTCAGCTTAAGGCCAGCACTCTACACTTGAGCCACAGTGCCACTTCTGGCTTTTTCTGCTTATGTGGTACTGAGGAATTGAACTCAGGGCCTCATGCATGCAAGGCAAGCACTCTTCCTACCACTGAGCTTCTGAATATATTGTACGTTCTTTTAATCCTTTCTCCCTGAAAAATGTTTGGGTTTCCAAGGGGGCATTAACCTCAGATGATGATGATGATGATGATTTTTATGCTGGTCCTGGGGTTTGACCCCCAAGGCCTAGGTGCTAAGCTTCTTTTTGGCTTAAGGCTAGTGCTCTAACACTTCAGCTATAGCTCTAATTTTGGCCTTTTTTTTGTTGTTGTTTGGTAGATATGAGTCTCATAGACTCTCCTGTCAGGGCTGGCTTTCAAACTGAGATCCTTAAATCTCAGCCTCCTGAGTAGCTAGGATTATAGATGAGCCACTGGTGCTTGATCAAAACTCCGATTATTTATAATTAAATTTCTGTTTGGCTCTTCTCAGATTAGACAATGTGGAAATCTAAGTTCTGGGTATCTTTCTTATGGGCTATTTTGATATAAAATTTCAATCTTTCAGAATATAATCATTTAGATAATCTCATCAATGTCTAATTTATCATGTGTATATCATGTTGTATTTGCAACAGATAATTACATCTTTTTAAGTCAAGACTCATTTTTCTTGTAGGGATCTACATTTTGTCTTTTCCTTACCTGAATTTTCATGGATTCTCAGAGATGACTTGTTTCTACATATGTCTATCTGATGCTTTTTTCTCTAGAGCAGCATTTTTCAAACTGTCTTTGGTAAAAGACCAGTTTAAAAGTTTCTAATCTACTAATACTAAAAAAGCTAATACTTTTATGAAATATTATAAAACTTTTTATTCAAAAGTTCCAAGTCCAATACGTAGTTCAGAACCTGCAGTCACTTGCCTAACTGTCAGGACAACATCAAGCCCTTACTCTCAACTCCTGTATTCATTTTGTTCCAGTTTGGCTTGTTTTTTGAGCCATACTTTCAGAGCAAACTACTCTGTAAGTAGCTGTTGTCAGATGTTTTGGTCTCAGGCCCTCTTTTGCTTTTTTATGGCTGTTCCTGGAGCTTGAACTCAAGGCCGGGTGCTGTTCCTCAGTTTCTTTTGCTCAAGGCTAGTGTTCTACCATTTGCGCCACAGCTCCACTATTCTGGCCTTTTCTGAGTAGTTTATAAGAAATAAGTATCTTAGACTTTCCTGCCCAGGCTTCCTTCAAACCGTGTTCCTCAGATTTCAGCCTCCTGAGTAGCTAGGATTACAGACATGAACCACCGGCACCTGGTCCTCTTTTGCTTTTTAAACTTGAGAATTCCAAAAAGCTTTAGCCTGTCAGCATGGTGGCAGATGCCTGTATTCCCAGTACCCAGAAAGCTGAGGCAAGAGAATCAACAGCCTGGGCTACACTGTAAATTCAGGCAGGCTGGGCTCAAAAAAGAATTACATACATATTAATTCATTTTTAAATAAAGTATTTTTGTTATATTTTATAAAAAATACTTTCTTGAAAAAATTTTTCTCTGTAGTACTAGAGTTTGATCTGAGGACTTAACACTTACTAGGTAGGGACTATACCTCTTAAGCCATACTTCTAAGTCCTATTTTTTTCAAACTTTAATGAGAAAGATGGCATTGTTTTGTACATTTACAAGTCTCTAATATCTGGCTTAAATCAAGATCCTGGATTCTCATATCTGCATCTACATTCAGTCTATTAAGATTTGTTATTTTGATTGAAGAATATGAAGATAATCTTGCCTCACACAGACGTATACTTGGAAAAGGAAAAACTTTTAATATTTTTTTCAGGTAGTTTAATATTTTCTTTATGATTACACCCACCTCAACATGTGGTAGGTGATATACATTATACAGTCTAAAATGATATTAATGAACTTTAGGTACTTTGTATATTAAAATCCACTGATTATGTCCTGTACTTTGAATGGATCTTTTTTTTTTTCTTCCTTGCAGTCATGGACTTGAACTCTGGGCCTGGGCCCTGTCCCTGAGCTCTTCAGCTCAAGGCGAGAGCTCTACCACTTCCAGTTTTCTGGTGGTTAATTAGAGATAAGAGTCTTGCAGATTTTCCTGCCCCAGCTGGCTTTGAACCTCGATCCTCATATCTCAGCCTCTTTAATAGCTAGGATTACAGGTGTGAGCCACCCGAGCCCAGCAAATACTTACATGTCTTCTAATTCTTTTTTTTTGTTGGTTGTGAGGCTTGAACTCTGGGCCTGGGCGCTGTCCTTCAGCTCTTCAGCTCAAGGCGAGCGCTCTACCACTTGAACCACAGCGCCACTTCCTGAATGGATCTTTTTACCTTTCAAAATATTGTAACCTAGCGGGGTGCTGGTGGCTCACACCTGTAATCCTAGCTACTGAGGAGGCTGAGATCTGAGGATCACCAACCCCCCCCCAAAAAATATTGTAACCTTTTGAATACTTTGGCCATTTGAAAATTCATGTTTTAGCCAGGTGCTGGTAGCTCATAACTGGAATCCTAGCTGAGTAGGTAGGAGGCTATGATCAGAGAATTAAAGGTTTGAAGCCCACCCAAGCAGGAAACCCTGTGACTCCTTATTTCTAGTTAACTACCAAAAAAACTGGAACTGGAGCTGTGACTCAAGTGATAGAGCACTAGCTGTGAGCACAAAAGCTCAAGGTCAGTGCCCAGGCCCTGATTTTGAGCCCCCAGGATTGAGGTGCATCCAAATCTGTGAGCACACACATGTGCACACACACATACACACACAAATTCTTGTTTACTGAGTAATGTACATCTTTTTTTTTCTTTTTTTTTGTTGGTCGTGGGGCTTGAACTGTGGGCCTGTGTGCTGTCCCTGTACTCATGAGCTCAAAGCGAGCGCTCTATCACTTGAGCCACAGCACCACTCCCGGTTTTCTAGTGGTTTATCGGAGATAAGAGTCTCGTGGACTTTCCTGTCCAGACTGGCTTTGAACCATGATCCTCAGATCTCAGCCTCCTTAGTAGCTAGGATTATAGATGTGAGCCACCTGCACTGAGCTAATGTACATCTTTTAAATGTTGACATGTTCTTTTATAGATACTCTTTTAAGGTAAGTTCATAACTTCCTCAGAATATCCTTTGATTATTAGGAATCTGGCAAGATTTAGAGAAGAAAGGACAAAATTTTCAACATTGTAAGATCAGACTTAATTATTGGTAGCAAATAATGTTTTCCTTGAAGGTGATCATTACTAAGAGATACCTGATTCCTACTCAGGTTAGAATAACCATAACTCTCCCTAGTCCTACTGCCTAGAAAAATGACATTCCATGAAAAAGTGACCATCCATCATGCAATCTAAATGATCATGCCAGTGTTTTTCCTCTAGACACTATCATCCTTTAGGGTATAGAAGTATGTTATTCGTGGTTCCTGTTTTATCACAGAATATTAGAGGCATATATATTCAAGACTCAAGATTTAATTAAATTAATTATTTTTGCTGTCTTATCAAAAACAGTTTCATTTAAGTGCCATTGTGTAGCTTAAGAACACAGTGGGACTTGGGCTATTTGTGCACCCAGATTGTTTCTAGTCACGCTAAGATGTCAGCAGTCTGCTTTGCCTTTGCACTATGTGAATGTCAACATAGAAATAATATTTGGATATTATTATGAAGGAGGACTCTCCCAAGACTCATGAAAAAAATCTTACAGCCAGAAGAGCAATTTCATCAATACTTTTCTTCTTTCTCCTCTTCCCCCTCTCCCCGCCTCCTTCCTCCTTTCCTCCTTCCCCTCTCTATCTCCTTTTCTTTCTTTTTTGTTTTAAATTTTTAGGTCTGAAGTGGAACTTGAACTTAGTACTGATGCATTCACTCAGTAGCTAGTGCTACTGAGCCATACTTCCAGCCCCATTGTCAGTACTTTTAAAGTCTAAAAAAGCTGGGCACAGTGTCAAACCTGTAATCTTAGCTACTCAGGAGGCTGATACCTGAGGATCATGGTTTGAAGCCAGTCTGGGCAGGGAAGTTTGTGAGAGTCTAATTAATCACAGAAAAAGCTGGAAGTGGAGCTGTGGCTCAACTAGTAGAGTGCCAGCCTTGAGCAAAAGTAGCTCAAAGACAGCACCCAGACTCTTTTAAGTTCAAGCCCCAGGACTGGCAAAAAAATAATGAAAATAAATAAAGGCCAAAGAAACATTCACATTTTTCTAAGGAAACATTATATATTTCTACCTTAATTTCTTGTTGTGTAAAACTGGAAGCAAAAGCTGAGCACTGGTGGCTCAGGCATGCCTGTAATCATAGCTACTCAGGGGGCTGAGATCTGAGGATTGCAGTTTGAAGCCAATTCAGGCAGGAAAATCTGTGAAGCCTCTTATCTCCAGTTAATCACTAGAAAACTGCAAGTGGCACTGTGGCTCAAGTGGGAGAGCACTAGCCTTAAGCAAAAGAGTTCAGGCAGTGCCCAGGTCCCGAAAAACAAACCCCAAAACTGGAAGCAAGTAAACATCAATTGTGTAAATAAAGTAATCTGATCATTAGAATTTCTTTAAGTAGTTTACTTAAACTTTCTGTGATGAGTTTAACCACTAGGAATGATTTTTTTGGTAGTTTAATTTTATCATTGATAGGTATTGAGATATATCTTTGGATAATTCAAAATACTCAAATTTTAAGACAGGCTGAGGAACCTGTATTAGAGACCCTCTTGACAAAGTACATGTGGATATAGATGTTCTATAGTAGTTAATAAAAATTTTTTCTTACAGGTGCCCGGGAATACCATGTCCAATTTTTTAGCAACCAGCCAGAGAGGGCATGGGTTCATGAAAAGCGTGTACGGGAGTATAAAGGTCATAAACAGTATGAAGAATTACTGGCTGAGGCAACCAAGCAAGCCAGCAATCACTCTGAAAAACAAAAGGTAACTGATGGCATATTAACTTTTTTTTTTTTTTTGGTTGGCCATGGGGCTTGAACTCTGGGCCTGGGCGCTGTCCCTCAGCTCTTCAGCTCAAGGCGATCACTCTACCACTTGAGCTACAGCGCCACTTCCGGTTTTTCTGGTGGTTTATTGGAGATAGGAGTCTCACAGTCTCTCCTGCCCGGGCTGGCTTTGAACTCGATCCTCTGATCTCAGCCTCCTGAGTAGCTAGGATTACAGGCGTGAGCCACCAGCCAGTGCCCGCTTTGCATATGTTAGCTGAACATTCTACCATTGAGTTATACCCATAGCCCTCTAATATAGCTTATTTTTGTTTGGTTTGGTTTGGTTTTGAGGAAATTTGTTTGTTTTATGCTAGTCCTGGAGCTTGATATAGTGGTAGATAGGTTCAGATTTGGAAATGAATTCTTGACAATCTAGTTGAAAGGTTTTTTGTTTGTGTTGCTGGGTTCTTTTTTGTTGTTGTTTTGTTTTTGTTGGTTGTGAGGCTTAAATTCTAGGTCTGGGTCCTATCCCTGAACTGTTCAGTTCAAGGCTAGGGCTCTACCACTTGAGTCACAGTGCCACTTCAGCCTTTTCTGTTTATGTGGTGCTGAGGAATCGAATCCAGGGCCTCATGCATGCGAGGTAAGCACTCTACTGCTGAGCCACCTTCCTAGCCCCTTGTGTTGCTGTTTTAGGGCTGGCCCTGGGGCTTGAACTCAAGGCCTGGGTGCTGCTGGCCCTTTGCTTTTTTATTCAAGGCTTGCATTCTACTACTTGAGCCATACAGTTCCACTTGCAGGTTTTGCTGGCTAATTAGAGATAAGAGTCTTATTGACTTTCCTCCCTGATCTGGCTTTGAACATCCATTCTCAGATCTCAGCCTCCTGAGTAGCTAAGATTACAGATGTGAGCCATCCGTGCTTGGGTTATTTGATATTTTAAACAAAGTAATTATGCAAAAAATTAGTCATTTTTCTACTTTTAAAGCTAAATATTATCACATAACTTTGACTTATATTTCAGGCTTATATTTTATCGGTTTATATACGTGAATATTTGTCATATACCATCTCATAGTTCTATTGTTTTCTATCTCAGTTTATCTACCTGAACAATACCTGATTGCTTTGGTCATCCTGTACACCTCTGGTCAAAGTTTTCTTACCTCTGTTGTCAATCTAAGTTCTTCTAATTAAGACCCATAGAACTTGATTGAAGTTTATGTTTCTTCTCATACCTGCTGTCCTTTTTCTTTCTTAACTGCTTTCATTTTTTCCTCAGGCTCTCTTCTTTTACTTCATTTTCTCCTTGTTTACATTATGGTTCAGAATACCAGTACATTTCTCAATGTTTCTTCTTTTGGGTAGTTTTGTTACGATGTCCACAAGTACCCTGGACTTAACTGTACCTTCCAGCTATGAAGGAATGGGAGCTTTGCAGTTCCGTGTATAAAGTTAGTGTTTCATTGGCTACTGGGAATAAGTTTTAGTAGCCTTTCTTCTCTTTTGCTTCATTCTTGCTAGAGTAAGTGTGATGTGAGAGGGATGTCTCCCTCTTTGAGGAGAGTTGTCTAGCTCTGAAGCCCACAAAGGAAGGATAATAGGATGAGCCTTCATGCCATCTAATAATTAAGTGATTAAAGGTATGGAATTGAGGACATATGATTAAAGAACTTGAAGATATTCTTGTGGCCTAAAAGTATAATAAGACACATGGGAAATATATGTTGGTTTGAATATAGTATTAGATTAAAGTATTGTATATAACACCTGTATCTTTTTTAAAGATTCGGAAACCCCGACCTCAAAGAGAACGTGCCCAGTGGGATATTGGCATTGCCCATGCAGAGAAAGCATTGAAAATGACTCGAGAAGAAAGAATAGAACAGTATACCTTCATCTATATTGATAAACAGCCTGAAGAGACTTTATCCCAAGCAAAAAAGAATGTTACCTCCAAGACTGATGTTAAAAAACCCCGAAGACCAAGATCTGTGCTGAATACTCAACCAGAACAGACCAATGCAGGGGAGGTGGCCTCCTCACAATCAAGTACTGAAATTCGGAGGCAGAGCCAGAGGCGGCATACAAGCACGGAAGAGGAAGAACCACCTCCTGTTAAAATAGCCTGGAAGACAGCAGCTGCAAGGAAATCTTTACCAGCTTCCATTACCATGCACAAAGGGGGCCTGGATTTGCAGAAGTGCAACATGTCTCCTGTTGTAAAAATTGAACAAGTGTTTGCTCTTCAGAATGCAACAGGAGATGGAAAATTTATTGATCAATTCGTTTATTCAACAAAGGTACCTCTTTTTTTCTTATAGGACTTTTTGGGTAGTAAAATGATATTTTTTTAAATGGTTGGCTTTTTGCATTAAAAAACAACATAAGGACATAATTTAAATATCCTTTTGAAACATATAGTCACGTTTACTCTATGAGCAAAAAAGACATAGACCAAAAAAAGCTGTTTTTCTTCTGCACCCCTCACCCCTTTTGTAATATTCCCATCTGTTGTAGATTAGTCTTGAACTATGCAGCCAAAATTGAGCTTAGCTCCTGAAAGTCATGGAAAAAAACTGGACAGTTTGTCTGTTTCTAGTTTGTATGGTGAGGTTTTTCTGTTGTTGTTGCAAAGTTTGCTTCTAATTAAAATCTTTTTTAGTTATCTAAATTAGCAATTGTTATAAAAGTTACTATAATAATTGTACCTGTTGAACTGTTTGGTTGCACCAGTAGTTCTGTTAGATTACTCTTGGCTTTAGACCTCTAACTGCATTTCAGAGAAGTCCCACTACTGGTTTTCCTTTGGTGATAAAGCAGTAATGGTGTAAACTAAATTCTGTAAACTAAATTCCTCTTCTCAGATTGTCCTGGACTTCCATTTAAAGCAGTTATACTTTAGTTTGATGACATGAAAACTCTTTCTTAACACTGGTTATATCATATATACCTTCTTACCACACTCCCAACCCCATCCACAAATCTGAGTTTGTGATTTCAGTTTATCTATCTTTTATTCATATTTGTTAAAGAATCCTTTTCCTACTTTTTCTTAGTACTATGCAACTTTTTCATAGTTATATGCACATTAAAGAAATTACATATACGAATGCCTAATTAATATACTTATATAAATATATTTTTGTAGACTATAAATTATAGATATATATTAGTAATATTTATCTTAAAATCCATTTATAACTTCACGTCTATTCTGTTGCATCAAAAATGCTTAAAGACCTAAGTTGGTTGCACCTTGCTTTTGTCTGTTCTACGTTACTTATTTGATCATATTTTAGTCTCCATGAATGACGTATTTCTGTTTCTGAAGACATCTTGGCTTCACTATCTATGTAATAGGGAGATAGTGACCAGAGTTCTCTTACTATGATATATATATATATATATATATATATATATATATATATGAAGATACATAGATATGTATATTATATATTATGCATATATAAAAAAGTTATTCAAACTAGAAAATATTTTGTTGGAGCTGGGAAGGTAGCTCAGAGGTAGTCTGCTTGCCTTGCATGTATGAGGCCCCAGATTTGATTCCTCAGCATCACATGAGCAGAAAAAGCTGGAAGTGGCACTGTGGCTCAAATGGTAGAGCGCTAGTCTTGAGCTGAAGAGCTGAGAATAGTGTCCAGGCCCAGAGTTCAGGCCCCACAACCGACCCAAAAAAACCCAAACTTTGTTTTTGACAGAAAACGAGGTGACACAGGTTCAGATTTTAGGGATATCTATAACTTGGTCTTAGACAAGTAGTTTTTATTTTTCTCCCTATGTGATCTCATCATACATTTTAGAATATATCCTGATAACTTAATAAAATTATTCAGATAATGGCTAAGATAAATTAACCATATTAAAAGACCAGACAAATTCAAGAATATTATTATAAGCTGTCTTTATAAACTCATGATGCCATTTGCATAATAATCACTTTATTTTTTATTGTATTTTGCCTTACTTTAAAGGGAATTGGTAACAAAACGGAAATAAGTGTCAGGGGGCAAGACAGACTTATAATCTCTTCACCAAATCAGAAAAGTGAAAAGCCAACTCAGAATATATCATCTCCTGAAGCAACATCCTGTCCTACAGGTAGGTGTAAACAAGGAATATATGAATCTTTTCTGGGTGGTCATTGTTGTGTTCAGCTATAACATGATAGCTTTGTTCCTATGAAATTTTTCATTATCAAAAGTAAATACAGCCAGTGGCTCACATCTGTATTATTAGCTGTTCCGGAAGCTGAGATGCAGAAGACCAAGGTTGAATCCACCCAAGGCTGTAAAGCCCTTGAGATTCCATCTCCAAAATAACGAGCAAAAAGCAAAGTGTCTAGAGCTACAAACACACACACACACACACACACAAAATATAGCTAAACTGAAATCACTTCAGTACTCACACACATACACAAAGTAGCTATAAATTCTATGGTAGATACAGTGATGCATGTTTAATCTTACACTTAACAGACTAAATCAGGAAGATCATGAGTTCCAGGCCAGCCTGAATGGAGTATACAGCAAGACTGTCTTAAAAACCACAATAACAATAATAAACTATAAAATCTAAATAAACTGAGTACATCAGCCATTTTAATTATCTTTTTGCATGAGAATAGCATCTTTGTTTTTCCAGCACTATTAGCACGTTCGTGTGTGTGTGTGTACATGTGTGCATGTGCACATGTGTATGTGTGCATGCTGGTCTTGGGGCTTGAACTCAGGACCTGGGCACTGTCCATGAGTTTTGTTTTGTTTTGTTTTTGCTTAAGGCTAGTGATCTACCACTTTAGCTACAGCTCCACTCTTGGCTTTTTTGTTTTTGGTAATTTATTGAAGAGTGTCATGGGCATTTCTGCCTTGTCTGGCTTTGAACCTTGATCCTCAGATCTCAGCCTCCTGAGTAGCTAGGACTACAGGCATGAGCCACAAGCGCTTGTCTATTAGCATGTTTGTATTCCCTTCTTTATCCTCTACTGGAAACAAGATCTCTATTAAATGCCAATGATCTTTTCATTATTCCTAAGTGTGTAAAGCATTAATAGCTGAGGGGCTTAGGACCTAGCTAATCTAATGTAACCTGTTCTCTGATTAACAGGTACTACAAAATGAAAATCAGGCTAGGTTACACTTACTTAAAAGATACTGGAAATTGGATGCTGGTGACTCACTCCTGTAATCCTAGTTACTTAGGAGACTAAAATCTGAAGATTGCAGTTCAAAATGAGCCCAGGCAGAGAAGTCCATCACACTTACCTCTATAACCAGCAAAATGTCTGAAGTCAAGGTGTGGTTCAAGTGGTAGAGTGCCAGCCTTGAGCAAAAAAACAGCTCAAGGCCCTGAGTTCAAGTCCCAGGATTAACATGTGCTCATACACACACACATGTGTGTGCATGTGCCCTAGGGTAGATATGGTATTCCATACCGGTATCAGCTACTTACAGATTGCCATCCTGGCCAAAGTTACTTAAGAACCTATTTGAAAAACAAGCAAAAGGACTGAGGGTATGGCTCAAGTGGTAAAATGGTAATAACTTGAGTTCAACCCAGTATTGCAAAGGTAGAATAGAGTGAGAGAATGCCTATATTCAGTAAGGTAATTTTATACTATTTCACATAACTATTAAGAAAAGAGTTTGGTGTTCATTAGTTTGGTCATTTGGAATCTTAGGAAAAAGTTTGTTTCATTTTGTTTTCTAAAAATTTCTTTGGAATTGAAGAAGTGACTTTTTTTTTTTTTTTGGGTCAGTCATGGGGCTTGAACTCTGGGCCTGGGCACTGTTCCTGAGCTCTTCAGCTCAAGGTGAACACTCTACCACTTGAGCCATAGCACCACTTCCGCTTTTCTGGTGGTTAATTGGAGATAAGAGTCTCAAGGATTTCCTGCCCTGACTGGCCTTTGAACCAAGATCCTCATATCTCAGCCTCCTGAGTAGTTAGAATTACAGGCATGAGCCACTGGCTCATGCCTGTAAAACACCACTGCTGGGTGTTTTTCTGCTTTTTTTCCCCCCTACACTGACTAGTTCTTATACACCAGCAGGGTATCATATGATTCCATTCAGTTCTCACACTTTGTACCTGTTTGGTTTTTTGTGGAGCTATGTAGCCCAGACTCGTTTGACTCCTCATCTTCCTGCCTCCTCTAGGCCTGGCTTCATAGCCTCTTTTTTTTTTTTTTTTTTTTGTCCTGGGGCTTGAACTCTGAGCCTGGGTACTGTCTCTCAGCTCTTCAGCTCAAGGCTAGTGCTCTACCACTTGAGTCAGAGCTCTAGTTCCGGTTTTTCTGGTGGTTTATTGGAGATAAAATTATCATGGACTTTTGTGCCCGGTCTTGCTTTGAACCATGATCCTTAGAGCTCAGCCTCCTGTGTAGCTAGGGTTATAGGCGTGAGCCACCAGTGCCTGGCCATAGCCTTTTTTTTTTTTTTTTTGGTCAGTAGTGGGGCTTGAACTCTGGGCCTGGGCGCTGTCCCTCAGCTCAAGGCTAGTGCTCTACCACTTGAGCCACAGAACCACTTCTGGTTTTCTGGTAGTTTACTAGAGATAAGAGTTTCACGGACTTTAATACCCAGGTTGGTTTGAACTGTGATCCTCAGATCTCAGTCTCCTGAGCAGCTAGAATTACAGGCATGAGCCACCAGCACCCAGCCATAGCCTAGTATTAAAGGACTCTGTCTTCAAGATTACTCCCAGGATATTTTTGGGGTGGGTGAGTGTGTTTGTGTGTGTGTGTGTGTGTGTGTGCACGTGCGCGTGTGCAGGATATTTTTGGTGTGTGTGTGTGTGTGCGTGTGTGCGTGTGTGCAGGATATTTTTGGGGTGGGTGAGTGTGTGTGTGTAAATACCATACCGGAGGGGTTACAATTACATGGGCAAGATAGTGAGTACATTTCTTATCAAGCATTGTTGCCTCCTCCTTTGTTTCCCCATACCATCCCTTCCTCTCTCCACTCCCCCATCCCCACCCCACCAAAGTTGTAAAAGTTTGTGTTTTGACATACATCTCATTGTTGTAATGGGTCCACCTGTAACCCTATTTAAACAGTTTTTTTGTTTTGAGACAAGGTTTCACTCTATAGCCTAAGTTGGATGAGAATTCAAGATCTTCCTCTCAGTCTCCCTGAGTGCTGAGATTATAGGCATGTACTATAGCACTAGGATTATATTCAGAAATTCTGACTGACCAGCTATATATTGGGATTCCTGTCACTCCTGTGCTTCATTCATTTACAAGAGTGGCTCACAGAACTCAGGAAAGTGTTTTTCTTGTTTACCAGTTTATTATAAAAGGTGTTATGGAGCATATAGACAAGTAGCCAGATTGAGAAGGTGCAGACCAATGCATGTGGAAAGGTCTGTGGTGCTTTTATGCCCTCTTTGGTCTCATTTCCTTCCCAGAAGCACCTTGGGTTTCCTAATCCAGAGGTTCCCCCAACCTTCGTGTTCTTGATTTTCATAGGAGATTTATCACAAAGCCATGATTTATTACTAACTCAGTCTCTGTGCAGCTGAATACTGCTTATCATGGCTTAGTCTTTCTGCTGACCAGCCTCCACCTCAGACTCTACCAAAGTTGCTTCATTTAAACAGGAGACATTCTATCAGGAGCTTTGTGTTGGGAGTAAAGACCAAACATTAGAACAAAAGATACACCTAGCAGCCCTGTCACTTACAGTATTTCAGGGGATTTAGAAAAGGAGCACAGGCCAAATATATATTTATTTTATCATAATAACACAGTAACCAAATACTGTTCTGGAAGAACAAAGTCTTAAGACTTTGAAGTAGTAATCTTCAATCAGTAGTAACTCAGGTACACCTGGGATTGAGTAGCTGGTAAGTTTAAGTAAAATTCTAGTGTTTGTAGTATTTTGGCTAGCTTTCTAACAGCAAATGATGGATCCAGGCACTGGTAGCTTACACTTGTAATCCTAGCTACTCAGGGAAGCTGAGATCTGAGGATCGTAGTTCAAAACTAGCCCAGGTAGGAAAGTCTGTGAGATTCTTCGTCTCCAGTTAACTACCTGAAAATCGGAAGTGGATTTGTGGCTCAAGTGGTAGAGCAAAAAAGGTGAGGGACAGTGCTCAGGCCCTGAGTTCAAGCCCCATGTCCAACAAAAAATAAAAGCAAATGATAGGAAGGATGAAAGACAGGGAGACGTGATATCAGAGGACTTTGGGCACAAATCAGATGGTGCTTACTAGCTAATTTGCCTTTATCCCGAATTGAGTTGGAAAGGAAGCCAAATTTATAATGAGAGAACAAGATCTAGAGCCAGGTCTGCTGCTTGTATCACTTCAAAGTACCATATAATAAAATGAAATTATAATGGTGAAAGAATGAGTAAATAGACTTAGATTTTACATTCATTAGCTGTGTTTTGAAATATTTGTTTCTTTCATTGAATTTTTTTTTTTGGGGGGGGGTCTGGTCATGGGGCCTGAACTCTGGGCCTGTGTGCTGTCCCTCAGCTCTTCAGCTCAAGGCTAGCGCTCTACCACTTGAGCCACAGCGCCACTTCTGGCTTTTTTTCTTTTTGCTTATGTGGTGCTGAGGAATTGAACACAGGGCCTCAAGCATGCAAGGCAAGCGCTCTACCACGGAGCCACCTTCCCAGCCCCATCTTTCGTTGAATATTAAAGTACCTTTTGGTATTTTCAGTTAAGCCTATCAGTTTTATTACCAGTTTTGTTAACTGTTGTTCATTTGTCTGAATTTAAATGGGATACCTGAGTGGGTAGATCCCAAAACATCTGTAGTCTTTTAACTAGAATTATTCATATGAATAGGGATATTAAATATGTAACACTAGATTAATCCTAAGTGATATACTTTTATTTTTAATGGAGTTTTTTTCCTCAACTACTAAACATTTTATTTTCATGTAGTCTTTTATTGTATGATTTAAGATCTACCATGAATTTTCATTTTCTTGTTTTAAATTCTTTGTGTCTGGAAAGAGACAGTGTAGTTCCTTCATTAGGCAGGTACATGTAGTTTAGGTTGTAGAATATGACAAGCATTACTTTAGGAACAAACACTCAAGAGCTTTGCTCTTGGTTTAAATTTGTTTGCCAGCTCTGCTTGATAAGCATATTTTATCTTTTGAAATAACTTTGTTTTTTTGTGAGAACAATTTTTCAGCCGGGCATCAGTGACTTATGCTTGTAATCCTAGCTACTCAGGATGCTGAGATCTGAGAATCATGGTTCAAAGTCAGCCCAAGCAGGAAACTGAGATTCCTAGCTCCAGTTAACTACCAAAAAGCCATAAGTAGAGCTGTTACTCAAGTGAGAGCATGCTTAGCCTTGAGCAAAAAAGCAAGGACAGCACCCAGGCCCCAGCAGAACTAGCACCAAAAAATATATATACTTTTACTAGATGAAAGGTCAAAAGGAGACTTATTTCCCTTCAAAAACCAATGACATGGGGCTGGGAAGTTGGCTCAGTGGTAGAGTGCTTGCCTTGCATGCATGAGGCCCTGAGTTAGATTGCTCAGCACCACATAAGCAGAAAAGAAAGGCCGGAAGCCGGGCACTGGTGGCTCAGGCCTGTAATCCTAGCTACTCAGGAGGCTGAGATCTGAGGATCACGATTCAAAGCCCAACCCCAGGGCAGGAAAGTCAGTGAGACTCTTATCTCCAAGAAACCACTAGGAAACAGGAAGTGGTGCTGTGGCTCAAGTGGTAGGGCACTCGCCTTGAGCTGAAGAGCTGAGGGACAGCACCCAGGCTGTCCCAGAATTGAGGACCCATGACCCACAAAAAACAAAACAAAAAAGCAATGACATCATTTGCCTCAGCTTGTGTAAACTTCAGGAAAAAAATTCTTGAGGCTTTTCTTGGTGAATGTAGGGAATACAAAGAATTTGTGGCACTGCTACATTTCTGTGACTTGAGGAATCTGGTCTGCATTCAGATCAGGCTTCTAAGCCATTTTCCAAATCTAGAAATGTTCACTCTGTCTTAGAAGGTGTGTATAATATTTGTTTCTTGTTTTAAATGTTCAGACTTTTTTTTTCTATTCCCCTTCAGTGATCGGACTCTACCACTGAGCCACAGCTTCTCTTTCAGCTTTTTGGTAGTTAGAGATAAAAGTCCTATGAACTTTACTGGCCAGGCTGGCTTTGAGCTGTAATCCTCAAATCTCAGTCTCCTAAGTATCTGGGATTTATAAGTGTGAGCCACTGGCATCCTTCAAGTATTTTTAAAAGCCCTGTTGGTTAACTCCTCTGTAAGAGAGTCTCATCTGCACTTCATGGTACCGTATATTGTCATCCTCAGAAACAAGGTTTTTGATTACTGATAAGCTGTTCCATTTCTTTTTTGTCTCCCCTGGTAAGTAGGTAGTACTTGAATATTGGTGATTATACTTCAGTATTGTGAAGCCAGTGGTGTGACTCTCACAAAATTTCCTTCTATTTATTTTGAAATTTTGGTTATAAGCACAATGATTTCATGTTTTACTGTTTTTTTATTTAGAACCATCATTGAATTCCCTCTTTGTTTTTAATTTTGATTTTAAAAAAAGTGTTTCAAATGTTTTAAAATAAGGGTCTCCAGAATCCTCTTAAGAGAGAAAAGGAACAAGCTAACACCTTTATTTGTGACTTCTCTGCTGGAAATGATTAACCGGAACTCCTAAACATGTTTACCTGCTTTCAAAACTAAACTGTAAAAACAAAATTGAATCCTCCTTTATTTGTATAATTAAAATATTTTGTAGATCCCAGTCTTGGCTCATGGGCCTTTACTAATAAGCTATTAAATAATTTTGTGCCCCTAAACATTTAAAATCTTTCTTTTTTGGTGATCCAGCTAGCATTTATTACTGTTTTGGTTGCATTTATTCAAGTGATCCCAATCAATTCTTGTAACTACCTTATGAATTAGATGTTATTTTTACCACCCCCTTTTGTCTAGAAGCTAAAGCTCCACAGATGAAATCATTTGTCCTTGGTCATGCAGAAGTACAGGGTTCTAATCCAGTTGTGCCTGAATCCAAACCCCTGATTTTAACTATGCCATGTAGTCTCTAAATTCTAAGGGAGTCAGGTTGACAGAAATGATTTGAAGGTCAAAAATGCGATATAGAGGAAGTGAACCCCTCACTTTAAAAATACCAGATTCTCCAACAGGAAATGCTCCTGCCTCAGAACAAGAATAGCTTGTTTGTAGCACTCACTCACTCAAGTCTAAGGGCTTCTAACTTCTTTTTTTTGGATGGTTGTAGAGCCTGAACTCTGGGCCTGAGCGCTGTCCCTTAGTTCTTCAGCTCAAGGCTAGGACTGTACCACTTGAGCCAGAGTGCCACTTCCGGCTTTTTTCCCCCCCTGCTTATGTGATGCTGAGCAATCGAACCCAGGGCCTCATGCATGCAAGGCAAGCACTCTGCTAACTGAGCCATCTTGCCAGCCCCAAGGGCTTCTAACGTCTGGCCCAGGTACTACCTTGTCATTGACACGGTTCTCTGCTAAATCCCTTTCACAGCAGAGGGTCCATTTAAGGTCTGAGTATGCCCCTGAGTGGGTCCACAAATCCTGGCTACTATATGAGCCCAGCCCATCCAGGCAGAAAGTACATGCAAGAGGATACCAAAGGAAGCTTGCCTGGCTACCTGGCCTACCACTTTCTGGCTGCCATGGCCTGGGTACATGGGTCCCATCATCTTTAAATCTTTTTAGTGACTGTTAATTAAAATTCTAAAGTAATGAGTAAGAAAAGCAAGAAATTGGGTCAGATCTTAACTGCACGAATGTCAAGCTATACTTAAGTTTTTGTTCATGTGTTTAAATCATCTCTTAGGCTCAGTAGAAAAGAAACAACAGAGAAGATCAATTAGGACTCGATCTGAATCAGAGAAATCCACTGAGGTTGTGCCAAAGAAGAAGATCAAAAAGGAGCAGGTTGGCTTCCTACATGTAGAGAGTTAAAGCATTGTATATGTAAAATCTGTGGCTTATCTCAGTATCTCAAAAGAAAGAGAAACTTTCTCTGCTTTGAGTTTCCTTTCTAAACTGTCTTACGCTTCTGTCCTGGTGGGTTGCAGTGCCCAGTTCTAATTCAGCCATCCCTGTGATTCTGCTTTAAGCATTTTCACAAAAAAGTCAAGCTTTGGGAGATGGGAAGCCAGTGGTGTGAGACTCTCACAAAATTCCCTCACATTTATTTTTAAATTTCTTTTATAAGCACAATGATTTCATGTCTTCATGATTTTCATATGGAACCATCATTGAATTCTCCCTCTTAAAATTTTTGCTTTTTGCTTTTATAAGCTGCTGGTATGTATTGTTTTTGTTTTTTAAACAAATCAAATTAATTTAACTTATATGCCTGTATTTAAGAAGCAGATAATCATAGATGATCTGGTTTTTCTGTTGGCATCACAGAATTTTTGGAATGTTATTTTTACAGTGGAATGGCACTCACCTGGTTATCAGGTTATCAGATAGACAATATTCAAACTTTAAAAAGAGTGTGTTGTGGAGCCATTTTGAATGTGTTCAACCAGTGTAATCAGTGTAGTAACATTCATATTAAATTACCTTTTCAAAGAATCTTTTAAAACTATCCTCCTTTAAATTAAGCTTATAATCAGAATTTTCTCAATTTTTCTTAAAGCTGAAAGTTACCCATTTTTACAATCTGGATGCCTGGCATTAAATAAAATTCTAATAGTATTAGTTCCAATAAGTTTTATATTTTAAAACCGCTATGGGAGAATGTGGACTTTCTTATTTAAAGTATTGCATTTATAATTTTAAGCTTCCAAATTTAAAAGTTAACTTTGTGGGTGCTCTATGATGTCACAAGCATGTAAAACAATTTTTTTCAAAATATCTAACCAAAATTAAGTAATATACTGATTTGTCATTTATTTATCATATTAACTTTCATACTTAGGAAATTCCAAAAAAAAATCTTTCTAAGCTCTTGCAGACCTGTAGTTTTCATTACCAAAATGAAGTTGTGACTTTGCCACCTGGTTTCCAAATTCAGTCTGTGACCAGTCAATTTAAAGTTAATAAGCAGAATAAGTACAAAAAATGGGACAAATTGTTAATGCCACTATGTTATATTTAGTTAGTAGTAAAACAATATCAGTGATTGTTTAGAAGATTTTATATTTGTATGACTAATTGTATCTTATTAAAAAAAAGCATTTCTGTTGTATGTTTTTTACCTGTTGTAAAAAAATAAAATTTTTTTTAAAAAGCTTAGAACAATCCTTAAATATTTACAAAATGTGTTTCAACATGCATATTTCACCACATCTTAAAGAAACATGAAATTCAATTCATAGCTTAATCAGGAACTCCTCCCAACAGCATCCTTTCTCTAATTCCCGTGCTTCAATCCTCAAATTACCCGTGTTTTACATATACATTGGCAGAATAACTTCTGATCTCGCTCTCCTAATGTAGGATCAAGACACTGTTCATAAGACACTCAAGAAAGTACTTTTGCAATATCACAAACTTATTTTCTTAAGTTTGTACTAGCAGCAAAAGTGTTGAGCTTCCAGCTGTATGGAGCCCTGTAGCACTCTCTACAGAGAGGGTCCTGATTCCCAGCAACTTAGCTGTGAGTGCAGGCGCGGAAGGGTCTTAAAGTGGCGTGAGTTACATTAACCTGAGTTTCATAGTAAGTAAAAATTTATCCTAACGTCTTTGGGGCGGGAGGGGTTTATAGCAGCATTGGGGCTGGTTGCAGAAACAACCCCTCTCCTGCCTCCCAGACACTGAGGAAAGTATTCTTGTTCTATTCATATTCCAAGGGCATGGTGGGAAAGATCTTTGCTAGAGAGCATGTGGCTGTGTGTTGTCACTTGGTATTCAGCACAGGCAGCTAGGATTTAAATCCTCCCTGACTTTAAGACAGAGAACTTGACCCATAAGATGGGACTGAGTTTAGTTTTCAGATACATTGATCACTCATCACTACTTAGATTGATGCAAGTCTTAATTTTTTTCCCTGTAGTTCAAGAGTGAAAAAATTCCTTGTTAATGCTGTAATTTTTTTTTCCCCAAACAGGTTGAAACAGTTCCTCAAGCTACAGTGAAGACTGGATTACAAAAAGGTGAGTTAATACTATAATGTTGCTTTGCATTTCCTTGACTAAACCAATTCTAAGAATTTTTTATTTTGTACTTCATGTATTTTTGCCTGTCTCTGTAAATCACTGTTGTTGCTTTTCAGTGTGAAATTACAATATCCCATTTGTGTGTTGTGTGTGTGTGTGTGTGTGTGTGTGTGTGTGTTGTGTATGTGTGAGAGAGAAAGAGAGAGAGAGGTAGAGAGAAAGACAGACTTTTAGAGTTGATCTCACTCTGTGCCTCCACATGAAATCTTTCTTGTTTTGGTAAATTGGAGAACACCGCATAGACTTGATACTGTTTCCAACTTTTCTCCATAAGATTCTGGGGTTTCACTGGCTTATAAACTAGGGATGTGACGAATCCACTTTTTTTGGTATTCGACTGAATACCGAATAGTAGCTATAAATGTCAAAAATGGACTATGACAAATCAGACAAGACAACTTGATTGAAAAATAATGTTGCCACACTTATTTTTACAGTGCTGTAAAACCTTTCTGTAAATTAAAATGATCCATAGCATACTTATGGCCATTATTAAATGATCATATGTGAATCTATTTGAGATACGCACAAAGGTTAAGAAACCTTAAACTTATATCTGTATTTTCTGTGTGCAATTTGACTACAGTACAAACTCCATGGCATGTTTCATGCATTTTTGGTGAGCTCAAACTGTATTTGTAGTTTACTCTGGGCAAATTGCATTATTTAAAAATAAATAAAAAATAAAACAACAGCCTCTCTGCATTCTCGGGGAGAGAAGTCTGCAGCGATGGTCTCCGTGGAGATCCTCAGCAGAACTGAACAGCCTCTCGGAGGGAACACTGCTTGGCGGAGCTCCAAGAAAGACATCGCGATCGCTGCGAGATTAGGAGGCCTGATTGCGTTGTGTTTCCACCATTCCACAGGGTCGGCGGACCGGGGAGTGCAGGGCTCTGTCAGATACAGTGACAGCTCCGTCTCCGCAGCGGTTGAGGAAACTGTGGACTGAGATTCCTGTACAATTTCATCCCAGAAACTCCAGAATTGTAGTCTCCATTCAAGATTTCTTTGTCGGCGGCTTGTTAAACAGTTTCTTTTGTTTTTGATTTTGCCAATCATCATTATTGGCCTGGTTCCTTCTTCAAGACTGAACAATTGCTTTAACATTCAAATGATTTTTTTGTTGTTTGTCTTTTTTTTTTTTTTCTGGTTTGAGCTGGATGGGTACAGCTTAAATCATGGGTCCAGCCTAAAAACCACCGTTTAATGTACACTGATCAATTCCAACATGGACTGTTTTTTTTGTTTTTAAATAAAGCATCATTAATGCATATCTGCAGGGTTTTGCCAAACAGCTCAAACTGTATACATTGCAATCATTAAAAGCTCTTATTTTTTTTAATATTAGTGCCGTTATGGAGAACAGCATGACAGCTGTCTTCAGCAGTCTGTCATTTTTCTAGTGTTTTCAGAAACTCGTCGGAACTGGCGGTACCTGTGTTTCCCTTCGAAAGCCTCTCAGTACAGCACTACTCCTATTCCTCTGTTAAAACTCCTTGTTAATCCAGTGATTTTAGGCCAAGGAAATATTTTGTGGTGGTGTTCTGGGTCCATACACCAGCAATGAAGGAAATAGATTTGTGTACTTGTGTTTTTTAATCAGCATTAACATGGGCAGGCACCCTCATTTCTAGATGTCAGGAAGCATTCAGTGAAAACTTGTAGCATGGGATGTGATAACAAAGTTCCAGTAATCTGAGCAGTCTCCTGAGGCCCACATCCTCCACCACAGAACATGGCTATACACCAAGTGCTGCTCCCACCCAGCCTGTTGCGGATCTTCATGGCCTCAGGAGACTTGTTTCTCCATGGTCTCTTCTGGACTGCACACTTCCACCATAGCTTGCTGGGCTGATCTAGATGTCTGTCTGTTGTATGGAAATTCTGGGGGAAAAAAAATCCAAAACACAAACTGTGGGTGGAAATATAACCGTCTCCTTGGTTCCTTGGTATTCACCGTGCCTGATCTGCACATTTCATCGTGGCTGTTTCTGTATAGCCTATACTGCATTAGCCCAAGAGATTGTTGCTTTGTAACTTTTTGCACTATTGTTTTGGCTGGATTTGTATTACACACAGTTTTAAAAAAAAATTCCACACTATTCTCTGTCTTTTTTTTTTTTCCATATTTATTCCTTCCCGCACAAATTCCACAGAGGCTTCTCATCCAGCTCTTCATGATTTGACTGCATTGAATACTGATTGTCCATTTACAGTACTCAGCAGTGTGCCTCCCAAATGGCATGACATGTATAGTGCTGCAGCATTTGTTAATGGTCACAATAAATGCCACTTCACCAAGGAAGTCTCAGATAAACAATCATGAACATTCAAAATTTATTGGGGGGACAATAATCAACTAAATCACAAAATTTGGGGGAAAATGGCACTATCCGTGTACGAATCGAATACAAATCAAAGATTTGTCACATCCCTAATAAAAACAAGATGGAGATGTCTCTGCAACCATATTTGTAAACTACACAGTGTGTTGGGTTTTATGTCTTCCCCCTCCAAATCAAATGGTGCTTTGAGTTGCTCCAAATTAATCGGCTGTCCTGCAGTTTTGATACAATTGGTTTTTAGGTTGGAATTTGGGCTGTGTTGACTGAAAATAGTTCTAGAGCTATTTTAGAGCAGGAGAACTGAATTAAATGTTTTAATAGAGCAAGAAAGGTCAGAAGCTCATGAAGTTTTGACTTGCATCTTCAGTATTACAAAGAGATCTGTGCTCTTTTTTTCCCCTCCTACACTAAAGAAAGGAGTTTGGGGAAAGAAAATATTCTCCCACACAAAAAAAATTAAAATGATAAACCTTAAGTATTACTTAGGATTAATTTCAGTGTGTTGTATTAAGGTGCCAGCGAGATTTCAGATTCCTGTAAACCTCTAAAGAAAAGGAGTCGAGCCTCAACAGATGTAGAAATGACTAGTTCTGCATACAGAGACACGTCTGACTCCGATTCTAGAGGACTGAGTGATCTGCAGGTAAATACGTGCCTGGATCTGGGTAGAATTGCCTTTTTTTGCTTTGCGAACAAAAGTACCACAATGCTTTGTCTAGCTTACTTAAAGAAATGAGGGAGATATCTAAATACTCAAATTCACGGGACAAAAAATGACTGGTTATTTTGTAACTTGTGGTTTTGTTTTTTGAGACAAGATCTTCATCTATGTGTAGCCCAAGATGGCTTCAAACTTAAAAGTCTTTGTGCCTCAGCCTCCTGAGTACTAGGATTACAGTTGTGCACCACCACACTTGCCTTTATACATGCCTGAAATTTTACAACTCTCTCACATAGCAAAATTCTATCTTTCTGGGTGCCAGTGGCTCAGGCCTATAATCCCACCTACTTAGGAGGCTGAGATCTGAGGATAAAGGTTTGAAGCCAGCCTGGGCAAGAAAGTCCATGAGACTTTTATCTCCAATTAACCACAAAAAGCGGGAAGTTGAGGTGTGGCTCAAGTGGTAGAGCATTATTCTTGAGCAAAAGAGCTAAGGGACAGTGCCCAAGCCCTGAATTCAAGCCAAGTACTAGCACCAAAAAGTAAATTAAAAAATCATAGATCATAGTTGTTGTTTTTTTTATTTTAACTACAATTTCTCCCTCAAACAGCAGGCATATGGTATCCATGGGTTTTAGGAAGAAAAAGAGGTGTGTCAATATCTACCTGATCTATCCTTACCAGGATTTTCATTGCATGTAACTTCAAGCAGAGTTCTGTTTTGTTTTTCTTTAAGATGTGCTATGTTTTCTATATAGGTAGGCTTCGGAAAACAAGTAGATAGCCCTTCAGCTACTGCAGATGCAGACATGTCTGATGCACAGTCCATGGATTCAAATTTGTCCCGAAGAGGTGTTGGCAGTAGGAAGGACACCGTGTGTCAGGTAGGGAGGAGGCTGATCCTCTGGCTGATCACAATTGCCATCATGTTTGATATGCTGAAAGAGGGCCTTGTGTTTCTAAATTGTGGTGCTGATTTAAAGGTACAGATCTGGAATTTCTTTATTGTCTACCTTTTCTGAGTTGACATTCTTGTCGTTCAAATGCAAGTACTAGTCATCTTTTTTATATTGGAAGTAAATAACAGATGACAGATTTCAAATATTTTATCCTAAATTTGAGCTTATGAACTTTTAAATGTATTTTTACTCTGTTGGAAAAATATTATTTTGTCCCTTGAAGAAAAGCTATACTATACAATCACAAAGAAGGAACCATAAAAGATCAAGTATGACTTTGCAACTTTTTATGCCATGTTGGGCTTGGAAATAGCTATGTAGTTCAGAGGGAAGTCCAAGGACAACCTCTCCAGAAAGCTGGTTAGAAAAGCAAATTCTGAGCCACCCTAGACCCACTGGCTTAGAATCTGGAGAAGAACCCACTGACCTGTATTTTACTAAGTTAATAAGCCCTCTGTGGGATTCTGAAACCTGCTAGTTTGAGAAACACTGCTTGCCCCCCGACCCCCATTTTGTAGATCTGTGAAAGCCCTGGTGACTCTCTGACTCCATGTGAGGGAGAATGCTGCAGACACTTTCACCTGGAATGCCTGGGGTTGACATCAGTTCCTGAAGGGAAGTTCATCTGCACAGAGTGTAACACTGGTAAGCTACTCTAAGGAAATGGAGAGGGAAGAGTGACATTTTCCCTAACATCTGATTCTTTCTTCACCTTGTATAACTTTCTTCCTCTCCTATGGGTATTTCAATAAATTAAAACACCATCCAACAATTTAGATTCCTAGGCACAAACTTCTTCCTACCAGTTTCTATACCATAAATCTAGCAAAACATTAGGAGAAGTTTGTCTTATGTAAAGAATTATACAAGGTATGTGAATTAAATTTTTCAGATAGTTTTGAGATTTATTTGTGCTCAGTAAATGATTTAAAATCCTTTAATTTTACTTTATTTATTTATTTTTATTTTTTGGTCCATTCATGGGGCCTGAACTCTGGGCCTGGGCGCGCTGTCCCTCAGCTCTTCAGCTCAAGGCTAGCACTCTATCACTTGAGCCACAGCGCCACTTCCGGCTCTTTTCTTTTTTGCTTATGTGGTGCTGAGGAATCAAACCCAGGGCCTCATGCATGCAAGGCAAGCGCTCTGCCACTGAGCCACCTTCCCAGCCCCAAATCCTTTAATTTTAATAGATTAGAATTAAGTTTCAATCAAAACTGTAACCATGCTGAGTCTGTTTTAGTGGAAAGATAGAGCTACTGGAAATTTTATTTTAAACTTGGATTCACCATTTCTTTCTTATTCTGCTATGCATACAACCATCTGTCAGAAGACCAATTATACACAAAGAGAAACATTTGTTTCTTTTCTATGTAACCCTGGTTAAACTTGGGGAAAGTAGTAATTGTTGATCAGTCTGAAACAGCCTAACAAGTAAAAAACTGATTGACAACATGTAGTGCTGTTTTTATGAGCTGTGTATGTGTACACATGAGTTTTGTATATGTGTGTGTATGTGTATACATAGGATTTTGATTTTTCTTTTTTTTTGGGGGGGGGTCCATTCGTGGGCCTGAACTCTGGGCCTGGGAACTGTCCCTCAGCTCTTCAGCTCAAGGCTAGCACTCTACCATTTGAGTCACAGTGCCACTTCTGGCTTTTTTTTTCCTGCATATGTGGTGCTGAGGAATCGAACCCAGGGCCTCATGCATGCAAGGCAAGCGCTCTACCACTGAGCCACCTTCCCAGCCCGGATTTTGATTTTTTTGAAGGAGGTTTTAAGAGTTAAGTGGATATCAAGTATATATGATATGTTGACCTTCTTGGACATTTTTTTTCTCTCTTTATTTGGATTCTCACATTTATTTTTTATCTTATCATTTAAATGTATACCCCAAAAATTCTTTGGTAATTTTATTGAACACTTGCTAAATACCAGGTGCTGGTAATACTGTGTTAGCCTGTAATATTAACATAAGGGACATTATGAGGTACATACCATTATTTTTCTATTTTGTAGAAGAGGGAAAATGAATAGAGAATTTAGTACATTGCCCAGTTTCAAAAGGTACTATATACTGAAGGTGGAATTTGAGCCTAGGCAGACTCCAAAGCCCTTTCTCTTTACCATTGCCATCTCCAAGTAGCTGATGTTCCATTTCATAGCCATATATCCAACCACATTCTCATAACACTATAAATTATACTATAAATGCGGTTTAGCATATGTAGAGTGTATATTTCCCTGTCACAAATGCTTTGTTCATCATCACATTTAGATATAAAACTATGAACAATTTGCCACCTAGCAGCCTCTCGGAAAGATAGTTGTACATTGTTTTCTTTGTTTTGTTGGTTTTCCATATATATTTTTTTGCCAGTCCTGGAGCTTGAACTCCGGTACTGGGCACTGTCCCTGAGCTTTTTTGTTCAATGTTAGTACTTTACCACTTAAGCTTTATGTTATTTTAATGTTTTTGGTAGTTAATTGGAGATAAGAATCTCATGGACTTTCCTGCTCAGGTTGGCTTGGAACCATGATCCTCAAATCTCAGCTTCCTGAATAGCTAGTGATAGTGGTGTGAACCACCAGTACCTAGCAAGATCTAAGATTCTGTTATGTTAGAGATCTGTAAAATTAAGGCATGTATAAAGCCAGACATGATGATGTACAACTCTAATCCCAATACTCAGGAGGCTGAGGCAGGAGGATCTTAAGTTTGAAGCCAGTGTGGGTTACACATGGATAGAGATCCTATCTCAAAAATACAAAAGCAGGGCTGGGAAGGTGGCTCAGTGGTAGAGCACTTGCCTTGCATGCATGAGGCCCTGGGTTTGATTCCTCAGCACCGCATAAGCAAAAAAGAAAAAAGCCAGAAGTGGTGCTGTGGCTCAAGTGGTAGAGCGCTATCCTTGAGCTGAAGAGCTGAGGGACAGCGCCTAGGCCCAGAGTTCAGGCCCCAAGACCGGAATCCCTCCTCCCCGCCCCCCCCCCCAAATACAAAAGCAAAACAAAAAAAACACAAGTTGAAAAATAACTTCATTTTTGAATATTTATGATAGGCAGGCCCTCTTGGTTGCCCACATTTCCCAATAATCCCTTTTCCTAAAGCCCTAATACTTTGTAACTTGCATGGCCACTTTAAGAGTTTAAATATGGAAGTGGTGCTATGCCTCACATAGTAGAGAGCCCTAGCCTTGAGCACAAAGAGGCTCAGGGACAGCGCCTAGTCCCTGAGTTCAAGCCCCACCACTGACCAAAAAAACCCCACAAAACCCAGTGGAGTTTAAATACGCAATCCTGGTTTGGATTGGAAGGGCCATGTGTATTTTCAGTCTTAAAACACTCATAGGGCTTAGCTCTAGAAGACAGTAGAATTCTGGCAACAAAGGTGGAGTAGAGTCTCATTTGTCACATACCTATTGGATATTTAAGAGGAAAATTCATAAACAAATAGTATCAGGTTGGAGGACTTATATTTCCTGATTTAAAAACCAAATCAGCTGGGCACCAGTAGCTCACATCTGTAATCCTAGCTACTCAGGAGGCTGAGATCTGATGATCGCAGTTCAAAGCCAGCCCAGGCAGGAAAGTCTGTGAGGTTCTTATCTCCACCAGAAAACTGGAAGTGGCACTGTGGCTCAAGTAGTAGAGGGCTTGCCTTGAGTTGAAAAGCTCAGGGACAGCACCCAAGCCCAGAGTTCAAGCCCCATGACTGACAAAGAAGAAAAATCAAAACAATGATACTGGTATAGAGATAATAGACATATACTAATGGAATAGAGTAGAAAACCTAGAAGTAAACCCATGCATGTATGTTCAGATGATTGTATATGTGTGTGGGGGAGGGTAGGTTATAGTGCATGAACTCAGGGCCTAGGTGCTGTCCTTGAGCTTTTGTGATCAAGGCTAGCACTGTACCACATTGAGCTACAGCTACACTTCAGGTTTTTCAGTGTTTAATTAGGGATAAGAGCCTCACAGGGACTTTGATGCCTGGCCTAGCTTTAAATTGCAATCCTCAAATCTCAGCTTCCTTGGTATCTAGGAGTACAGGCATGAGCCACTGGCACCCAACTTAAATGATTGTTGTTTTAGGGTTTTTGTTTTGGGGGGATTTTTTTTGGTGGTGGTGGTGCTGAATTTGGAACCCAGGGCCTCATACTTGTTAGGCAAGAGGTCTAATTGAGCCACATTTCTAGTTCTGGTCAAATGATTTTTGACAACGTGTAAAGACCATTAGTTGGGGAAAGGACAATTTTAACAAATGAGCCTAGAAAAATGAGTATATGTGCAAAAGAATGAAGTCAGACACACTTCCTTTCTTTCTTTTTTTATTTTGGGTCTGGTCGTGGGCCTGAACTCTGAGCCTAGGCGCTGCCCCTCAGCTCTTCAGCTCAACGCTAGCGCTCTACCACTTGAGCCACAGCGCCACTTCCGACTCTTTTTTTGTTTATGGCTGCTGAGGAATCGAACCCAGGGCCTCAAGCATGCAAGGCAAGCGCTTTACCACTGAGCCACCTTCCCAGCCCCCACACTTCCTTTCTTTTATGATGGCACTGGGGGTTGAACTCTTGTGCTCTTGCTTGACTTTTTTGCTCACAGAGGGTGCTCTACCAGTTAAGCTACACCTTTTCTGACTTTTTGCTGGTTAATTATGAATAGGAATCTCTTGGATTTTTCTACCTAGCTGTGAATCTCAAATCTCAAGACTCTTGAGTTGCTTTGTTTAGAGGCCTGAGTCATGGCAACCAGTTTTGTTTCTTTGAGACAGTGTCTTCCTGTGTAGTCTAGCCTCACCTGTAACTTGCTACATAGCCCATTCTGGCCTCAAACTCATGATCTTACTGTTTTTTCTTCCTGCTAATTAGACTATCACTTTCTGTTATTTAAGACAAATATGTTTTCTGGGAAAGAATCACTTCCTTTTACTACTTTGAACAGAAGGACTGAGATTACAAGCCAGGTACCAGTGGCTCACACCTGTAATCCTAGCTACTCAGGAGGCTGAAATCTGAGGATCACAATTCAAAGCCAGCCTGGCAGGAAAATCTGTGAGACTTACATCTACAATTAACCACCAAAAAAAGCTCAAGGACAACGTGCAGGCCCTGAGTTCAAGCCCCACAACCAACCAAAAAAAAAAAAATGGGAAGGGAGGATACTTTTACCTTTCACAAGCTAGAGGTCTGACATAAGTCAAAGGAATTGGACAATTCAGCAATCAGTCTATCACTTGCACCAGTTAGAACTTAATAGGCTTATTATAATCATGCACATGAAGACCACTCTTATATGGAGTAGTTTATGCATTTTTAGTTAAATTTGTCTTTAAAATGTATATTTTAATTTTATTAATATCTAAAAATGACTTTTTTCCCTCAGGGCTTTTTTTACCCCCTATGGTAAAACTCTAGGCCTTCCACATACTATGTAATGTTCTACTACCAAATCCTATCCTAACTGCAGAAGTTATTAAAAAAAATAGTAACTTGCCCCATTTGTTAGGAAATGGAAAGACTTGGAAAAAATTATATTAAGAAAAGCCAGATCCAAAGAAACATAGGTCCCATTATTTCTCTTATTTGCAATAACTAGTGTACATCTAGGATAATCTTACCAGACAATCAGAAAAGGACAGAAGCTATGTACATATGGCCATATAAGATGATACTAAGTGAAATGAACCCCAAGATAGGGATACAAGAGATTTTTGTCTCTGTTGCTGTTGTTTTTAATGTACTGTGTGATTTTTTTGTTTCTTTTGTATGTTCTGGTCTTCCCCCATTGTCTTCCCCCTATTGTCACTGTATTTGATTCTGGTGCCCTGCATCTTGTATATACATTTTTCCAATTTGGGGAAGGGAAGGGAAATAACAAAATGCTCAAACAAGGATACAGGTCGACCCATTGTAACAAGACATACAATACACTATGTTGAAAATGAACTTTACCACTTATTGGGGGGAAAGAGGAATTGGGGAGATGGTGAGGGAAGGGATAGTAGGGGAAAAACAAAGAGGGGTAACAATGCTTGATAGGAAATGGACTCATTACCTTACTCATGTAACTGTAACCCCTCTGTACAGTATCTTTACAATAAAATATTTTAAAAAGTACTTTCACAGCTATATACATGCTATGATGTAACTCAGAACTACAAGTATGCTATAGGAAAATAATAAGGAAAAACCTGTTGTGTTTTTTTAATTTTTTATTGAGATTAGGTGATTACATAAATTTCACAAATTTCACAGTATTGTGGCATAGTGATACTTAAAGTCACAACACATTTTAGCCTTCATAAGGCAAGTTGTCATTATCATGGTCTATAAAGTTTGTGAATTCTATGAGCTTTGACAATACATCTATTTTTTACACATCAGGTGAGATTTACATTTCTTTCCTTTTGCTTAGTGTATTTTTTTTTCCTCTCATTCCTTCCCTCCTATTGCTGCCTTTGAGTTACTTAGTTCATTTTCATCTCTGTCCAGTGCAATAAGCCACTCTGTTGTATGTTTTCCCATTTCCCTCTGATTCTGTGTCTTCCTCCTAGCTTCCCTCAGATGTATGCATACTTATACCATATATGTGGTTAAGAACATGGAGTCATTTAGCAATGATAAGACAAAATGAGTGGAAGTCCTTTATTTCTCGAGTCCTGTTTACTTTGTCATATCTCCTTGCATTTTTGGCTTTAGCATCCACATATTAGGGAGACCATGTGGCATTTGTCTCTTTGCTCTTGGCTTACTTCGCTCAAAATGATTTGCTCTAGTTCCATTCATTTCCCAGCAAATGCCATTATTTTGTCCATTCTAATGGCTGCATAATATTCCATTGTATAGAGGTACTACAATTTTTCAATCCACTCATCTGTAGTGGGACATCTGGGTTGTTTCCATATTTTCTTGGCTATTGTGAACAGTGCTGCAATGAACATGGAAGTGCATGTGTCCTTGTATCCTGGTTCCTGTTGCTCAGGGTAGCTGCCTGGCTGGGTCCTATTGTGTTTTATTTCTAGAATAAAGGCAACAAAAATATGCAGACATCACAGTTGTAACTACTCATTTTATTTTTTCATGGTAAAGTACTCATTAAAAAAATTATAATTCAGCCAATTTCTGAAAATTAGGCAATTTGAAAAGTCAAGGAATAATCTTGTAATTCAACTTATTGTTTTGCAAAGCAAAAACCAATATTGTTTCTTATATTTCCCTTCTGATTTTTATAGGGATAATTGAAAAGAAATCAACAGATTTAAACGCTTTTCAAGGGCTGATATTAAAATACCCATTAAATATAGGACTAGTTGTCATAATTTGCAGTTCTTTCTTTCCAGCTGAGCATTTTTCTATATTTTTATTTGCTTTTTTTGTCTCTTGTCCATTTATGTTATGTAGTATTCTTATTGATAGTATTTTAATTTTATTTCTAATTATATAAACTTTATTATGAACATATCATAATTAACTTTTCTAACTCATGTCTCTAAATGATTATCACTCTTTTGTTTTTTTCCCTTTCTTTATTTGGTGCTGAGAATTGGCCTCCATGGCCTGGTAAATTCTAATAATAGGCATGTGCTCTGTCACTGAGCTGCAGCCCAAGCCTTGATCACCACTCTTGAAATCCTAGACCCCTCTCTATATATGTATTTCTGGCTATCCCCAGAGTTAGCTATTGTTATCAGTTTCTTGGGTAGTACTGTAAACCTTTCTGTGTCTGTGTAACATTTTTACATATTCTTAACAAAAAATGTGTCATACCCTTGTCCTGTAAGAGTCTCTTTATGTCAAATAGAAGTGCATCTTATTTATTGGACAGTATTTCATAATATGCACACATCATGGTTTATTTATCTTTTCCCCTATGGAGGGAATATGATGTGCTTTCAGCTTTTTGCAGTTATAAACAGTGCTGCAGTAATTGTCTATTCATGTATGTAAATGTCTTCACCAAGAACTAGAACTTGTAGGCTATAGGATGTGATTGTGCATGCATGAATGTATGTATGTATGTATGTATGTATGTCCATTGTGGAGCTTGAACTCAGGGCCTGGGTGCTGTCCTTGAGCAAGACTAGCGCTCTACCCTTTGAGCCACAGGTCCACTTCCTGATTGTGCTTTTATTGAGAACAATATTGCCTAGTTGTTGCCTAGGATAGCTCTTTCCAACATTAATTCCTACCAATTGTGTAAGAGACTACCTTACCTATGCTTCTTATCAACAACAGGTATTATCCAACTATTCTTTGTGTTTTATAACTTGGTTTCCATTAGCATTTCTCTGACTACTCGTGAAATCTTAGCTTTACTTACATATGTGGTGTATATTTTCTACATATGTGAACTCTAGAGGACAAAATATAATCCTCAGTCATCTTTTTTCTTAGCCATTTTTGGATCATGTTTCCCACATCTGCTTTCTTGTACTTGTTTCTTTTTTGTGTGTTTTTCATTTTACTTCGTTTCTATTATAATTGGCATCATTTTTCCCCCCCCCCTTTAAATGTTTGGCACATTCACTATTGGAGCCATGGGGGCATACAGTTTTCTTTGTTGGAATACGTTCAATTATAGTTTCAATTTCTTCTGACGGTTTAATATTTTAGCACCAGTATTGATGAGATCTGTTTTTCTAGGAATTTGTTCATTCATCTAAGAATTTAAATTTATTAGTGAGATATATTGATATATTTTTGTCTGTGTGTCTGTGTGTGCTGGTCCTGAGGCTTGAACACAGGGCCTAGACACTGTCTCTGAGCTTGTTGCTCAAGACTAGTACCCTACCACTTGTACCACAGCTCTGTTCTACTTCTAGCTTTTTGGTGACTAATTAGAGATAGAGAGCCTCACAGACTTTCCTGCCTGGGCTGGCTTTGAACCATGATCCTCAGATATCAGCCTCTTGAGTAGCTAGAATTATAGACATGAGCCACTAGCACCTGGCTTTGATGTACTTTTAGTATCTTTATGTTTGTGTAATTTATAGTGATGCCTCATTTTTCATATCATTAATAAGTTTTCTTTATTAATAAGTTTTCTTTACTCATATCACAGGTATTTATTAATTTTCTCAAATAATGCAGCCTCTTTAATGCTTATCTATACTGGGATCTTAACTCAGGGCCTTGTACTTTCTAGGCACGTATTCTATCAGTTGAACTATGCCCCGCTCCCTTTTTTTTTTTATTTTATCCAGATAGGGTGTCACATTTTTGCATGGAGCCAGCCTTGGACCTGTGTCCATATCCTGCATGACTAGGGTGATAGGCATGTGCCACCATGTCCAATTTATGTTCTGAGATAAAGGTCTCACTGACTTTTTTTTTTTTGCTCTGGCTGGCCTCCAATTGCTGTCCTTCCATTTCTGTCTTACAAACAAGTGTGATTATAGGCATGTGTCAACACAGTCAAATGTATTACATGTAGGGGCTGGGATGGTGGCTCAGTGGTAGAGCGCTTGCCTTGCATGCTTGAAACCCTGGGTTTGATTCCTCAGCACCACATAAGCAGGGGGAAAAAAAGCTGGAAATGGCACTGTGGTTCAAGTGGTAGAGTGCTGGTCTTGAGCTGAAGAGCTGAGGGACAGCGCCCAGGCTGAGTTCAGGCCCCACGACCGGACCCAAGGAAAAAAAAAATGTGTTACGTGTAATTGTAGAGCTTCTTTTTTGGAGGACAACTCTGAAAGGAATATGTACCCAAGTATGATAGCATATGCCTATAATCCAAGCAGTCAGAGAACAGTAGGGTCATGAATTCAAGGCAAACCTGGGCTACCTAGTAAGTTTCATGCCATTCCAAGCTAGTAGAATCTTGTCTCAAAAAACACCCAGGGCTGTGGCTGTACCTCAGTGATAGAGGACTTGCCTTGCATATGCAAGGCCCTGGGTTCCATTCCTTACACCCCAAATAAATAAGTAAACAGAATGTTTTAATCAGATCTTATTTAACTGTGGTCCTCACCAATCTTTCAGGGGAACACCCATGTTTTTCATGCAAAGTATCTGGTAAAGATGTGAAGCGCTGTTCTGTTGGAACTTGTGGGAAATTTTATCATGAAGCCTGTGTTCGCAAATTTCCTACTGCCATCTTTGAGTCTAAAGGATTCCGTTGTCCCCAACATTGCTGCTCTGCCTGCTGTATGGAGAAAGACATCCACAAAGCAAGTAAAGGTAACATAAATTACAGGAGGGGACAAAGATTTCATATTTGAAGTTCAATGTCAAAAAAAAATGCATTAAACACAATATAGACAACATCAGGCATTCTCTCTAATTTGTGGTTAAAGGCTTAACTACAAATCTATGAGAAGAAATTCCATGCAAATCCATGAGAAGAAAATTCCAGGGCTAGGGTTTAGTGCAGTGGCAAAGCACTTCCTTAGCAAGTGCAATGTTCTCAGTTTAATCCCCTGTATCAAAAAATACTATTAAAAAAGAAAATTTGATATGATCAAAACTACACTTGAAAAGCCCTTAAACATGGGCTGGGAAGGTGGCTCAGTGGTAGAGTGCTTGCCTTGCATGCCTGAGGCCCTGGGTTTGATTCCTCAGCACCACATAAGCAGGAAAAAAAAGAGCCGGAAGTGGCGCTGTGGCTCAAGTGGTAGAGCGCTAGCCTTGAGCTGAAGAGCTGAGGGACAGCGCCCAGGCCCAGAGTTCAGGCCCCACAACTGGACCCAAAAAAAAAAAAAAAAAAAGCCCTTAAACAGGCACCATTTTGGACTATCAGGATCTCTCCAGCATTGGAACAGATTGTTTTTTTCTTTTAACAATCTCTAAATGGTTACTAGGCTTGTATTTAGGATCATATGCATAGGAATGATAGAAACAGCCTGGTGAAGAAAAAATATTTTATAGTTACTATAATTAATGTCACATAAGAACTCAAGAAAGCCCAACTTCAAAAGTCTCCTGTCCAGCTCAGTACAACCCTACTTGACTTGTCTTTCCACAGGACGCATGATGAGATGCTTGCGATGTCCAGTCGCCTATCACTCTGGAGATGCTTGCATTGCTGCTGGAAGTGTATCTGTGACCTCCTACATTCTCATCTGTAGTAACCATTCCAAACGGGCCAATCACACTACTGCTGCTATAAATGTAGGCTTTTGTTTTGTTTGTGCCAGAGGTGAGTATCAACCCTCTTTCTTTATTTCCACGTCAGATCATTGGCATATTTCCACTTAGAATGAGTCTCAGCATTGAGAGAACTCAGGCCATTCTGTACAGCCTATTACCCAATGCCAAATTCTGTTCTGTTAAACTCCTGGAGAGGTGCACATTACCAAAAGTCCCTTTTATTTACTTACTCATTGATTCACTTAGAGACAGGGTCTTGCTGTGTGGCCTGAAACTCAGGATCCTCCTATCTAAATTTCAGGTGCTTCTTCCACCAGGTACAGACATTCAGATTGTTATTTATTTTTTTTTCCCAAAAGCTAAGCTAGAATTTTCTTTAAAAATAGAGCACTAAGAAAATAGCTCAGTGATAGGGTGCTTGCCTATCTAGCATATGCAAGGCTCTGGGTTCAGTCCCTAGCACCGTCAATATATAAAATAAAACAAACATAGAATTGCAGATAAGTTCTTGCCTTTTCTATTTAATATTTCTATAATTCAAAGGATTAATATTCTGCAAGTATTTTTGAAGTAAATCTTTCTCATGTCCTCTAATCTAGAGCTTTCATCTTACTAAGTTTTAGTTGGAAGGCAAAGCTAGCACAGTTATTTTTCCATTGTTTACGTTGTATTTTATGATGTTTTGGTCTAGCATTCAGAGGGCTTGACGAGACAAAGCTAAGGTGATTTACTTAAGAGTCAGCAACAAAGACTTTTTTTTACTTGCTAGCTATGATACTTAAGTATGCCAAGAGACTGATCAGCTGAAAACACTATGGCCCTAGGGAGGGTCCGCAAGCTTGAGTTTATTGTACATATAAATAGAGCCTTTTTTTCTGTTTTCTTTCTTTCTTTCTTTCTTTCTTTCTTTCTTTCTTTCTTTCTTTCTTTCTTTCTTTCTTTCTTTCTTTCTGTTGTTGTTGTTGTTGTTTTTGCAGGGGGTAGGGGGTAATGGTTCTGGGATCAAACTCAAGGCCATATGCATGCTAGCAAGCAGAGCTTCTTTATGATACATGGGATCCAGATTTATCTTGGTTGTATTACAATGAAACTTTTTTTTAAATTTAGCAAGTATTTGGAAATAAACTAGCATCCTCAAGTACTATTTTTGTTGGTTTTAATAAAAGTGCCAAGTTTTGTATACTTTGTGTGAAATATTTGAGAGGACTCTAAGGCCTATTAGGCCTGTTAGATTTTATTTAAACTGTTCTGAAGATGAAAACATTTTTTGTTTTTGCTTTAATAGTATTATAAAATATTTTTTACAATTTTTAATTAAAGATGAAGTCTTGCTATGTTGCCTAGAATCATCATGAACTCAAGGGCTCCATTGACCTTTCTACCTCACCCTCTTGAGTAGCCATGACTACAAGCATGTAGTACTGCTTGTATAAAAATACTTTTGAAATAAAATTTTGATAATATAGAGTCTTGTTATTTTGCTTGTGTGTGTGTATGTGTGTGTACACATGTGTATGTATGTACTGGGGCTTGAACTCAGCCTGGTGTATGTATGTACTGGGACTTGAACGTAGCTTGGGTTGTCCCTTAGCTTTTTATGCCCCAAGCTACAACTTCACTTACAGCTTGTTGGTAATTGGTTGGAGTCTCACAGGCTTTCCTGCCTGGCCTGGCTTTGAACCATCTCAGCCTCCTGAGTAGCTAGGGTAATAGACACAATCCACTAGAACCTAGCCCAAGGCCTACTTTTTAAATACAAACTACACTGTCTCCTATTAAATGTGTGGAATTTGTTTGGACATTGCATAACTCTTCTTAGAAGATTCTTATATAATTAGCACTGTCAGGTTCCTTTCCTATCATCTGGTTCAGGAGCATTTCTTGATTCCATCTCAGTAGATGGCAGTATCTAAAAGGTAAAACCCACAGGAAAAAGTAAATGATATCCTCCCTCCTCTCAACATGACCCCTAAATGAAATTGCTGTTGTGATTTGTGTTATAAAGTTATAGATTTCTATAAAGTAACTAGTAACCAAGATAGAGAAATATTCTCTGGTCTCATAGTTGCCTGGATTTAGGAGTGGCTTGCAGTTGAATTAGAAACCTAACTCAGGAAGAAGAGAGGCAAAAAGAAGAATCATGGGTGATTGTAGGAGATTGTGTGTTTTCTTCCAGATAGGAAGCTAGATGGTAGATCCTGCTTCAATAAACCCTTGCATTATCACAACCACTTTCTTTTCTTTCTTTTTTTTTTTTTTCCTTGCTGTCCTGGGGCTTGAACTTAGGACCTGGACACTGTTCTTGAGCTTTTTTGCTCAAGGCAAGTATTATTCCATTTGAACCACAGCTTCATTTCCCAGCTTTTCGGTGGTTTGTTGGAGATAGTTTTATGAACTTACCTGCCCCAACTGGCTTTGAACCTCGATCCTCAGATCTCAGCCTTCTAAGTAGCTAGGGTTTTAGGTGTAAGTCACCAGTGCCCAGCTAAAATGGCATATTGTATTGATAAAGTTTCATTATTTGACAGAGAATGCTAGAATTTACTTGAGTGTTTCTCAAGATATGAGTGGAGGAGATAGGAGACTCAGTTCTGTCTTTTTATTGGATATTTTGAAATAGGTCCGAGTTTCATGATTGCTCTTCTGGCTAGCAAAGTGATACCTTGTTTTGTTCTTTGGATGGTCATCATAGTACTCTAAATGTTAAGGAACATAGATTTGTTTTCCTTCTTGAGTTTTCAGTAATCTTTCAGAGTTTTGGTATGATGTCAAATGTTGTGTATGTTTTCAAATGATTCAGGGTTTTCTTCTAGAAAGTGTAGAGGTTTCTATATAGTTATAAGGCATTTGAAAACTCATACTACTTTCAGTAACTGTAGCAAGCTTTTCTGTTAGGTCTTTCTTTGTTGTTCATGTCCTCCCTAAAACACCCAACTTTCAAGCCAGGCTTCATAATAGGTGTTGGTTTATTTCTTACCTCATGGAATCATGGGTAGTTTCATTGCAGCTCATCTCTTTCTGTTTGTTTCGTATAGGGCTGATAGTTCAGGACCATTCAGACCCCATGTTCAGTTCCTATGCCTATAAGTCCCACTACCTACTGAACGAATCAAATCGTGCTGAGTTGATGAAATTACCTATGATTCCTTCTTCGTCAGCTTCCAAAAAGAAATGTGAGAAAGGTAATAATCAAAATAGTTTATCTCTTGTTTTATTTTTGCATTTCCTATTTTTTTCTCTTTAAATGAAGGGGGGAAATGTATGCCTGTCAAGCACCATCTGTTGCTTTTGGTAAATTCTGCCTTGGTGGTTGTGACTGTGTCTTCATACGGCTGCAAAATTATTAAAAAGGGCTTAAAATAATTCTGTTATCACATTTTCCATTCTCCTTGAGTTACTTTTCACACATTCCAAATATGTAGGTTATTAAAGTAGCAAGAGTAAGATTTTTTTTCCAACATATAAGAATGTTTTAAAGGCTCTTTTCCCTTCTGCCTGATGTAGAACTAGCGTTAGAATAGAAGTGACATATGGTATGATGTGTTACTGTCAGCTGAATAATAAGATAGGTTTTTAAGAGAAGGAAATCAAGATACACATACTTAAAAGTTTTATTTTAGAATGCATTCTAACATTTTGTTTCTTAAATATTTGTTAAAATGCTATGAAAATTGCTGCTATTTCCTTACAAGACATTGGTGGGAAAGTGGGCATGGAAGGTTCCTCAAATACTGGATGTTAGAAGGCAGCCCAGCTGAATTGCTGATAGATAATCCATAGGAAATCAAGAGCTATATGCATATTTATATTCCTCCAGTGGATTTCATCCATAGAAGAAAACATCTGTGTTTAGTATCCCATAGCCTACTGGTAATCAAGAGAAAAACTGATTTAACAATAATGTATTATTTGGGGAGTTACTATCCCAGAGAAAAAAAAGGGTGAGCTTGGAAGGTAAAGGGATTTTCTTATATACGTTACCCATTTGGATCTGGAGGCCAGATATGGAATCTATAAAGAAAAATTCATGCATGCCTGATATGTATCATGTATGGTATACTAGGTATACATGAAATGTGCTTTCTTTCCTTCTTTATTTCTTCCTTCCTTTCCTTTTCCTTTTTTCTCTTTTTCTCTCCTTTTCTTTTCTTTTTTTGTCGGCCATGGGGCTAAACTCTGGGCCTGGGTGCTGTCCTTCAGCTCAAGGCTAGCACTCTACCACTGGAGCCACAGCACCACTTCCGGTTTTCTGGTGGTTTATTGGAGATAAGAGTCTCATGGACTTTACTGCCCAGGCTGGCTTTGAACCGTGATCCTCAGATTTCAGCCTCCTGAGTAGCTAGGATTACAGGCGTGAGCCACCAGCGCCCAGCTTCTTCCTTCTTATCTATAGAACCCATATCCATCCATACCCTGAGTCCCCTTCCTTCCTTTCTCTTTACCTCTCCCTCCCTCCTTCCCTCCTCCCCTCTTCCCCTCTTTTTTTTTCTTTTTCCTCCCTCCCTCCCTCCTTCTCTTTCTCTCTCTTCTCTTCTCTCTCTCTTTTTTATTTTTTTGGTCGGTCGTGGGGCTTGAACTCTGGGCCTGGGCGCTATCCCTGCACTCTTTCAGCTCAAGGCAAGCGCTGTACCACTTGAGCCTCAGTGCCACTTCCGGTTTTCTAGTGTTTATTGGAGATAACAATCTCAGGGACTTTCCTGCATGGGCTGGCTTTGAACCGTGATCCTCAGATCTCAGCCTCCTAAGTAACTAGGATTACAGGCGTGAGCTACCAGCGCCTGGTTCTCTTTCTCTTTCTTTCCCTTTCCTTTCCCTTTCCCCTTTCCTTTCCTTTCCATCCTTCTCTCTCTCTCTCTCCTTTCTTTCCTTCTTTCTTTTTTTCCTTCTTTCTTTCCTTCTTTCTTTCTTTCCTTCTTTCTTTCTTTCTTTCTTTCTTTCTTTCTTTCTTTCTTTCTTTCTTTCTTTCTTTCTTTCTTCATTCATTGTGCTGCCTGTTGGTCATATCTTTGTTCTTTGTCAGATAGGCACTAATGACTAAAAGAAAGTATAACTAAACAAGTTGATTAGGACTCAGTATGTATTGGAAAGGGTATTTATTTTGTTTGTTTTCCATGAGGTCAGATTGTATAACCTTACTGGTGATACTACCTTCCAAAACAAAGATGGGCATAGGTCTGACTTCATAATTCAGTAAAGTTAGTTTACTGGAGGCATTTTAGGAAATGCTTTATTTTCCTGCTGGCATCTTTATAAAATTAGTTTAATTCAGTTGTTACTTTGTTTTCAGCCCTCAGTCTTAACCTTGCCATGAATTGAGATTATTTTGAGCCCTCTGCTTAGCTTGAACCATATATTACTTCTCTTGCATCCTAAAGCTGTTTTCTTGCATAGCACCAAGGTAGATTATTTGTATTTTTATTTTTTTTTCTATTTTCCTGTGTGTTTTTAACATCTTTATCATGATGATTTTCACTGTTGATTCTGGCTCTGTATTTCCTCTGAAATAGGACTCAATATTTAGGACTTTATAATAATCATTAAAAATGACTGGCCTGAGTTCCATGTCAGTACTGATAATGATAATCTCTAAAACTGTTTGCAAGACCCATGAATCATTCATTTTGCTTTAAATTTACAGAATATTCTCTATCCTCCTCAGAAGCATTCAGGCAGGTAATCTCTGGGCTGGGGAATTGAGCCAATCAGTCTATATTGAGATCTTCAGTCAAAGAGGGGGTGTGGGGGGGGGACCCTGATGATTGAAGGAAAAGCTTTTGAGCAGAGGAAATACAGAAATTTAATTCATCACTGACTGCATATAGATTTTTGTTTTCATGTTAATCAGTTAGAAGCTTGAAAGTCTTCAGGAAGACAAGATTTTTTTGGAAAGTAGATCGTAAACCGTCAAAAGGTTGGAGCATGTCATTTGATCAAGTCTCATAAAGGCTCTTAACCTTTTGCTCATGAAACTTTAAATTTCAGTATATTCAGCAGTTATAGAGGTAATTTTCCAAAGGAAATATGGATGTTTTTGCAGTAAATGTCTTACATTCATCATCAGAAGTTAATCCCTTTTTTGTCACTTGTTGAAATACTAGAAATGCTTAATCCTGACAAAAAAAAATTTTTTTGCATTAAAAATTCTACTTCTGCCATACTTGTTTTGGTGTCAATCCAGAAATCATTTTGTGTATTTCAAAGGAGAGAGTTTTTAAAGGATACTTAGAGGGATGTCCTAAATATGGAACTTCATTCTACACTGGTAATCACTTAGTTTCACGCTATAAAGCAGTGGTTCTCAAGATTAAGTCAGAGAAGACATATAAACATAATATCTGAACTATTATTATCTAACAGAATAATACATTTGTACAAAATAAGGCAACGTGAATTTCTTTATAATTGGCTATAATTTGAAGAGCTTAATGTGATATTTGATTATTAGGACTGGGTCTTTGGCATATGCATTTCTTTAGTTATTAAAATAGGAGAAATTGTTATTATTGAAGTGCACAGTTGTTGAAGTGATACAATATTTGCAAATGTGGGTCTGTGCAAAAGGATCTTTGATAATGAAAAAGTTTCAAACCACTGCTATATAGTGTTTGACTTTCTGTCATCACTGAAATCATAATGATACTCAATCACCAATTAGAGAATCTGTGTTCTCAATGTTCTTTTTTATATCCTCTTATGGAAAAAAAAATACTGCTGAGCCTACTGCCTATTTCCATTCTTGTTAATGGGCCTTTCTAATTTTATTATAAAGGGATTTAGTTAATTTTGGCACTGGATTAAAATATAAAGATGTCCATTTCTTATCACTGAAGAAAATTGTTCATTTTTTTTTAATTTGAAAATTGTTCATTTTTTTTAACTTACCCTCATATCTACTCGGTCTAAAAATGTTATGCATCTACTGATAATTTTAAGAGTTTTAGCTGCTTGCTAAACTGGTACTTCAATAGTCCATATTTTAGAGGAGTAAAAAGTACAATAATGCTTTTGGTGCTACTCAAAAGCTCTATTTCTAGCCACTGACATCCTAAAAAAAACTCCCAAAAAGTAGCTAAATATTTTCTTTGGTTTTCGATTTTCTATTTTAATCCATTCTATGGATGTGACTTAATCCCTTTGTTATTGTCCCCCAACTTAAATCAAATGCACTTCAAAGGTAACTTTCTCCTTTCTCTTTTTCTCTTTCCTCTTTTCTCAGTTATTAAGACTGTCTATTTGTTTCAAGGTGGAAGATTGCTCTGCTGCGAATCGTGCCCGGCTTCCTTCCACCCAGAATGCCTAAGCATAGATATGCCAGACGGCTGCTGGAATTGCAATGACTGTAAAGCTGGCAAGAAACTCCATTACAAGCAGATTGTTTGGGTCAAATTGGGAAATTACAGGCAAGTTTTCAAAGGACAAAGAGGAAGTACTTATTTTTCAGATCAGATTCATAGTGAATGCAGAGCAGCCAAGACCTGTCTTCTTCCGAAGCCAGGAAAGAAACAGGTTTTCATTCTGGGTTTTTACAGCACTGGGAAGTTTATGTTGTTGGACTTTCTGTTTCCTTGAAACTAGTTGCTAGACTTTTATTTTAAGTTCTGAAAGTTTTGTTGGTGGTGGTGGTTGAACTCCTGGCTTGGGCGCTGTCCCTGAGTTCTTTTGTTCAAGACTAGCAATCTACCATTTTGGGCCACAGCGCCACTTCCTGTGGTTAATTGGAGCTAAGAGTCTCATGGACTTTCCTCCCCACACTGGCTTCAAACTGCAGGCCTCAGATCTCAGCCTCCTCAGTAGCTAAGATTATAGGCATGAGCCACTACGGCCTGGCTGAAAGTTTTATACTAATGAACTATATTCTACTTAATTTTGTAACAAAAGGTCTTGATTAATCAGTAGAAATGCTATTTTCTTTGTGCCTTAATTAGATTTATATTGATTTATAGTAAGATTTAGTTTACATCCAGGCCAAAATAGCTCTCACTGGTCCTGAATCTGGCCCATTTTGTTCTGACTTCTAGAAGCCCTAAGAAGTGTGTATAAACATAGCTTTATAATTTAAAGAGAGAATTATTCCAGGAAGAGCCTTTGGTTCTGATTGGTTTTGTGTTTTTTTTGTAGTACTGGGGTTTGAACTCAGGGCTTATGCCTGCTAGGTAGACACTCTCCTACTGGAATCAAACCTCCAGTCCTTTTTTGGCTTTAGTTGTTTTTCAGATAGTGTCTTATGTTTTTGCACCTAATTAGTCTTAACTTCCATCCTCCTACCTTTGGCTTTCCATTTAGCTGGGATCACTGGTGCATACCATCACACCTAGCTTATTGTTTGAAATGGAGTCTCTCTAAGTTTTTGCCTGGGCTAGATGGGCTCACACCACCATCCTCCAGTCTCTGCCTCCTAAGTAGTTGGGATTATAGGCATGAGCCTAGTTATTTTTCAGCCATGATTTTCTTACCTATGCCTCCTATGTTGCTGTAGTTCTAGCCCTTGCAAGATGGAGGCCAGACTAAGGTACAGAGTGAGAGCTCCCTCTTGTCTGAAAAAAATCAAGGGCTGGGGATTCAACTGTGCAGATCACTTGCCTCATAGAATGGAAAGCCCTAGGTAAATTTCCAGAAGTATAAAACAAATAAAAAGTTTGTTTTTAGCTGAGATCCAGGAGCAGTTGAGAAAGGAACCCCTCCCCTTTTTTTTAACATAAACTTCCACATCTTAATTTAAAAAAAATCAGATTGAAATAAATCAATTAATATGATGTGGAAAAAGACATAAAGTTGTAAAAATACAAATATCAAAAGTATTCACTCCCCCACACTCATTGGAAAATGACAAGTACATTCATTCACACCCATAACCCTAGCTACTCAGGAAGGTGAGATCTGAGGATCACAGTTCAAGGCCAGCCTGCACAGAAGTCTGTGAGACTCTTTATCTCCAAAAAACTACCAGAAAACCAGAAGTGGAGTTGTGTGTGGCTCCAAGAGTGCTAAGCATGAGCAAAAAGAGCTCAGGGAAAGCTCCCAAGCTCTGAATTCAAGCCCTACAACTGACCACCACCACCACTCCCCCCCAAAAAAGAAAATATTTTAAAGGCAAAGAACAGAATCAGTTTGCAAAATAGTAGCAAATAGGAAATAATCCCAGAAAAAAAATGCTTAGCCTTACTAAAAAATAACACACTATAAAACAGTTTTGTTCTCAATAAGTAGATTGACAAAGATTTATAGGTTTGATTTATGGGCAGTGAAGGCATAAAGGAAAGGAGCAGTTGGATGGTAGTCTGGTATCACATGTTTGAATCATAGGTACAACATTTTAACTTCAAGGAATTAAAAAGAAAGTTTTGTTTGGTTTTTCGTCGGTTGTGGGGCTTGAACTCTGGGCTTGGGCTTGAAGAGCTGAGGGACAGTGCTCAGGCCCAGAGTTCAAGCCCCACAGCCGACACAAAAAAAGAGCTGAAATAGTTAATGTTCACTTAAGGGCTCATTCTTTTTTTTTTTTTGGTCAGTCGTGGGGCTTGAACTCTGGGCCTGAAAGCTGTCTCTCAGCACTTCAGCTCAAGGCGAGTGCTCTACCGCTTGAGCCACAGCACCACTTTTGGTTTTCTAGTGGTTTATTGGAGATAAGAATTTCATGGACTTTCCTGCCTCGGGCTAAATATTTATTTTCATGTATTTACTCTTTGCATTGGTGACTTTGTAAACCACAGAAGCCCACATGAGGATCATTGGGGTTGGAGCCTCATTATCTGACCCCTGGCTTCCCCATTATTTCCTGACTTGTCTAGTTACTAGAAACTGTTAAAAGCTTCTTACAGATAGTTTCATTTAGTGACTACTGTAGTCCATGATACTGCTTTGTTTTCATTCTGGCCTTACCCTGTATTAAGAGGCATTAGACTTTGAATTGCCAACTGATGCAAAGGCCAAGAAGTGTTTGCCCTGAATGTAGGTTTGCATAGGGGACATTGTTCTACTATAAAGCATTTATTCTCAGAATTACTCGAAGTAAGTAATCCTTTATTCCTCAAAAGATAATCTTTTATTCCTTGAAATGTTCACGTATGTTAGTGTGGGGGTGACAGGGGAGAGTGACTTCTAGAACATTACCTAGGTTTGGAATAAGATTGGTAGCATTCTGGTTCTTGGATTAGGTAGTGGGTTCAGTGTTGTTGTTATTAGACCTTATGACTTATTATTTTTATGACATAGTTCATAAATGTCAAATATTAAACATATTAAGAAAGATACTAAATCAGCTGTTTAGAGCCTTCTTGCTTAACCTTTGTTCACCATTTTGTTAATTCAAAATAATTTTTTAAATTTTTTTGGGTTTTTTTGGCAATTGTGGGGCTTGAACTCAGGATCTGGGTGCTGTCCCTGAGATCTTTTACTCTACCACTTTGAGCCATAGCTCCACTTCTGGTTTTTGAGTGGTTTATTGGAGATAAGCGTCTCACGGGGTCTTGCTTGAGCTGACTTCGAACTGTGATTCTCAGATGTCAGCCTCCTGAGTAGCTAGAATTACAGGTGTGAGCCATCAGTGCCCGGCTAACGTTTTTTAATGATAGATGCTTTGGATTGTGTTTGAACTTTTGTTCAAAATAGCCTGTGTTCAGAATCTGAATAAAAATTGCAAACCAGGAAACCCCTTACTTTCTCCTGCCAACCTGTAGAGAATGGTGAGATTTGTCTAAAACTGCTTTTGTTTTCAGATGGTGGCCAGCTGAGATCTGCAATCCCAGGTCTGTGCCACTGAACATCCAAGGCCTTAAGCATGACTTGGGGGACTTCCCTGTGTTCTTCTTTGGTTCTCATGACTACTATTGGGTACACCAAGGCAGAGTGTTCCCTTATGTTGAAGGAGACAAAAGCTTTGCTGAGGGACAGACTAGTATTAACAAGACCTTCAAAAAAGGTAAGCTGGATTGTGTTTGTAGTTACCCAGAACTGAGAAAGCATTGTGGGTTTCTTGATAACCTCATGTGCCCATTACATTTCTGCTACTAGAGAATGTTCACCAGCACTGTGATTATGCATCAGTAAACTAAAACATATACAGTGTATGTGAAAGGGGCTGCTTTAGCAACATTTCTATAAATTAAGTTTGAGCTGGAAATCTCAGTCAAATGCAGCAATTGTACAGAAGAGTAGTAAAGACTTCCCAAAAGAAGCCATACTCTGCATTTGTACTGAGTTGCTAGGAGTTTGGCTTTCTGGGGAAGAAGGGCAATAGCTGCTGTTGTCATGGCATTGGAGGTCCCTGTCATTGAAATAGGACCTCTTCTCAGAGACATCCACGTGCACAGAACCTAGTGTTTGGTGAGTTGTATCCTATGTTGTGATTACCAAGACTGGTGTGAGTGGTAATCTCATGCCAGATGCAGAGCATTGAGAAGGTAAGAAGCTAATGTTCTAACTCTATTTTTGTAATTATTTACTTTTGTCTTCTTGTCAGCACTGGAAGAAGCTGCCAAACGTTTCCAGGAACTGAAAGCACAAAGAGAAAGTAAAGAAGCATTAGAGATTGAGAAAAACTCAAGAAAACCTCCTCCTTACAAACACATCAAAGTGAGTCTTTACCCATGAAAACATTGGTATTTCTTAGACAAGAAAACACATTTTTCTCTCAGTAAAGGCCATTTGTGTTAACTTTCACTAATTATCAGCCAGAACTCTGTGAAATTGGCTAAGAACTTTTACTGGAAGATTCAATGGAAGTCCTGGGTATGGTGCTTTAAGAACTGGGTCTTTGACAAATCCTCTCTTACCAGAAAGCACCATAACCTATGTGAAAATCCATTCATGCTCCTGTTAGGTTATCTTGTCACCAAATGAGACCATGGGTCTTTAACTCACAGAGAAGCCTATTTTCTCTCAATTTCAGATTTGAAGTTTCTGCCAACCAGTAAAAGGAGAAATGAGAATTCACATCAGGTTTAGATATTTTTGTCATCTGAGCTCTCTCTTCCTATTCTTAGTTTAATCCTGGGGAAATTGAGGTAAAAAGCTTTTTTTTCTCAAGTCACACCACAGGGCATTAGCAGAGGCCAGAGGAGGTTGGATATTTTGATTTTGTGTTCAAATTGACCTATCTGCTGCTTTGCTGTCATCTGTAATTTTGTTTCCTAGGCTAACAAAGTAATAGGGAAGGTTCAGATCCAGGTTGCTGACCTGTCGGAGATCCCCCGTTGTAACTGCAAGCCTGCTGATGAGAACCCTTGCGGCCTAGAATCTGAGTGTCTGAACAGAATGTTGCAGTATGAGTGCCACCCACAGGTGTGCCCTGCTGGAGACCGCTGTCAGAACCAGTGCTTCACCAAGAGGCTGTACCCAGATGCAGAGATCATCAAAACTGAGCGCAGAGGCTGGGGCCTCAGGACCAAAAGAAGCATTAAGAAGGTAGCTCAGGGATGGAGATGGAGTGGAGAGGAACCACAGGTCCTGTGCCTCATGAGCCTCAGTGTAGGGATAAAATACATAGAGATTTATGGGAAATTTTTGAAAATTCCCATTTGCCACTTTGTGAGCAAAGAAGCTGTGGGAAAGAGGGTGCGACAAAACACAAGTAACCTTTGAGTGTCCTGTGACCAGCCATCAAAAGAAGGGACATTTTCTATTTGAAGTGTTTTCTTACTGGTTAAATGGAATTACTTAAATGTCTCAAAAAAGGCAAAATAATGAAGTTATGGACGTCCTTGGTTAGCATCGTAGTTCAGTCATTTGGCAGTCTCTTTGTAGCCCCTAGCCTAAAAGCTTAAAGGTCACAGCTCTCGGGTCTTATGATGAAAAGCAATTGGGAAAAGTTGAGGCCCGTAACAATTGTGTTTTTTTTTTCTTCTTGTATGTATTTTGAGATAACTTTTTAAAGCAGTCACATTAACACAGAAATGAATGCCCATTGTAGAAAAACATTTACATGAAAATCCATGTCCTACTATTCAAATACTGGGTCTCAAATTTTAGACTGCCTGATAATCTCCTGGTGATTGTACTTGAAGTACATTCACTAAGAGAAGATAGATCTAATAGGAATATAAAATTACTGACAGGTTGCTATCTATCTTTTTTAAAACTTAATTGAATAATATCTAATAAGGTAAAGAAAAGTCAGATAATATCAAAAAGATAGTAGAGTGAAATTCCTCCTTCACTGCTACATTCATGTTGTCGAGGAAGTCCCTGTGAATAGTTTGGTATACAACCTTTAGAACTTTTTCTGTGAAGCAATGAACACATCTGTAAATATTATCCACATATTCTGTATTTGTAGAGTTTTCTTTTTTTTTTTTGTCTGTCGTGGGGCTTGAACTCTGGGCCTGGGCGCTGTCCCTCAGCTCTTCAGCTCAAGGCGAGCGCTCTACCACTTGAGCTACA